AAAATAAGTTATGTCAACTTGCATTGGTGCGATTTCCGAACCCTGTTGCAAGATAGCTCCCACAGTGAACCACACGGCATTGTTGAATGTAAATTGGTTCTGCAGTTCGTTAGGTTCTTCAATGCAGGGATAAGGATTTGTCCATTCGGCTGGGCAAAGACGGCCAAGGGCGAAAAATAAGATCGACATCACAATGGTGCTCAATGCTATACACAGCCAAACTTGATAGTGGAAAGGCGCGAGAAAGGAAAATAGAGTGACTACTTTCTGAGGTTTCTTCACTAACAGGCTTATGCCCAAATTCATGAAGGGCGTTGAAAACTGCACGCACTTCGCTCGGTTTTCCGTCATCGTCAAATCCGATATTGCCATATCAACTTCCTATTTGTGAAAACCAGCAAGTAAAGTAAATATGTAGTATGTTTTCTTTCCACATAGGCCCATCATTTTCACATCGTCCGATTGATTACGAAGATACTTGTTAACTTGTTAACCCTTGCGTGCTTTCAAATCGTACTAGAAATAGTTGCTTTAATTGTAAATACAAAATAATTTGCAAAGAACGTTAAAACAGTGGAAAAGGTTGAAGGAACATTCTTGAAATATAAATGTTAAAAATGTTAATTATGTTCGTTAAACAACGTTGATTTTTGATAAATCATTCGAACAATCTGACATCCAACGTGAATGAAAAAAATAGACATGGGATTCAACTTATCGATACAGGGAAAATGGTTTGTTTTCAAATCAAACAAATCCAATGGACTCTCGCTCGGCATTTATTTATAAAAAATGTATGAAAAACGAGAGCCCAAAAGCTACTTGGGAATTTAAAAGATGCTTGAAATTGCTCACTCCATTAAAAACTCTTCCCGTTACGCCGTCGCAACTAATGCAGCTTGTGTAATTGCTGAGCTTTTCCCATTTGCAATTGCCATTATTCGTATTCGAATGCATGATCAACGTGTAATCGAAGTCCAATGCCTTGGACAATTCTTTTATTATATCAACAACCAATCCTTCGTAACGCTCGTTCCCTGCCATGCTCCTCGAATGTTTCACTACCATCGCGTAAGGTGGATTCTAATTTAAAGCGCATGAGCTAGAGTGAAATTTATTTTATGATTGCATATTTATCGTATAAAATTTGTTTACATTCGTAATGAGGACTTTGTAGTGAGGCTTTTCGCGCGACTCTTTGTGTCTGAAATCGACGAAATAATTTTCAAAATTCCATTCGCAATGTTTCTTGAGACCCGTCTCGTGGAGAGTCATCAAATCGAGTTTGAAACGTCGTCGAGCACCATCGCCGTCTATCGCTATTGGGCCCGTCAGACCCATAATTTCCGTCTAAAGTGAAATTTATCATTCGTCAAATCCTCCATGTAAACTTGATTCTATTTTGCTTTCAATGTTCACAGTAAACAATTTTACTTGAATCGAGTAATAGAAGTTAGTTTTAAAATATTGCCATAATAAAGCGCTTATCATTCATCCGTATTCGTACTTGAAAATTTGTGACTTGAATAGATAAACAAATTGCTTATGAGAAATAAGCAGCTACATCGAGTCAATAAATTGAATGATTTAGAATCTTACTCAAAATAAATAAGAGTAGACTCAATCGCATAATATAATCCAAGAAAACTAACAAGTAAATCAATAAAAATAAAAGTAAATGTTTTACTGTGCAACAATGATAAATAATTTTTATGCTTTTTATGGTTTTTACTTTTAATGCTTTTTATGATGGAAAAAATTTTTAATTGAAAAGAAAGCAATTTGAATGACTTTCCATTAACTTATGTGTTTTATTTACTCAATTTTAAATTAAAGCTTTAATAATTGTTTTTTTTTTCAATTAAAAATAATTGTTTATTTGAAAATCCACTTACATATAACAAGTAATTTCTCAAACTGAGACCTTCCTTCCAGGGATAGAATTCTTTATCGAAATCCTTGGAAAATGTAGCACTGAATAACTGTCCATTCTTATAACTAAGATCTTTGTAAGCATGTGCAAACATCATCACCGCGTCGAATATTAAGGCATCATCGAGTCGAAACTGTTCAACAGACTCGATCTTAAATACATCCAAATAATCGTTCAGGAAATCGCGGACAAATGGATTGGTGAAATCTATTAGTTGGAAACCTTTTATGTTAACGCCAGAATACTGGTACTGGCGCCAGTCGATCGCGTGCAGATCCTGACAAGAGAAAGAGAGAGAGAGAGAGAGAGGCAAAGCAATAAACAAAGCAACGAAAATTAAAAAAGAGGATCACATGATAATCGGGAGCTGATTTCGCTTGAGTTACTTACCAGTGTTGTGATGACATATCTGTAATCGCCTGTCATCATGCCAACTTCTTGTAGTTGCGTCAGCACGTTGTCCAAAATATCAAATCCGCAGTCGATGAGAAAGCTTTTGTGCTGCAAGCTCTTGGCTTTCAATAACGGCTCGCTGTGCCATATGAAACTTTGGTTACGTACGCATCGCAATGTGCACGATGTACTAACTGGATCGAAACGACTACCTGTAATTTGATCCATGACCAGCCAACTTGATTCCGTAAACGCTGTGCGTGTACCGATACATCGCCAGTATATTGCGAAGAGCTATGAAGTTATTTGTGTCTTCGTACAGTATTGAGAAAGTCTGCCATCCCATTTTCTTTATCAAATCCAGAAACACCTGTCGTGCATATGCGAAAGAGATATCAAGAGGCGCAGGTCGACAGGGCATTGCACGATATCGAGTTGTCAAAAAAGTCAAAAGCACAAAAGCGATTTTTTTTTTGCTTTGTCATTGTGATAGTCAGTAGCGTGATTGAGTTGTGCTTTACACATGTGTCGTTATTAATTAGGTATCGCGACATGCCGGGAGTAGATTGAAAACGTGGACGCACGTTGTTGACAGTTTCGGTGTCCGGATAAAGATTGATGGTCTGAGAGGCGCTGTGCTCCCGCTCGTTTTCGCGTCTGATGACGATCTGGGGTAGATTGTAGAGCTCGCAAAGACCTTGCACGTAGAGCGACGATATGGACTCGTGAGGCCCGATCACGAAAGACAAACCCTTCTCGTTCTTTATGATCGAAGTATCGTCCTTGTGATCCATCCCTGCTAGCTTTGCAACTGCGAGTGGATAATATTTTGATTTATTGCTCATTGTTAGTATGTAATGAATTCATATGACCTTAAAAATTCAACGATATTTCCGAAAATGAACGAGTAATGTCGTAAGTTGAGTCAGGCAAAAATCGAAAGTGCAATTATGAAGTATCAATGCCAACGAACAATTTTGTCGAATGACGGGTATTTCATTGTCGTCCTGCGCAGTCATCGTAGAGAATTCAACTTGGTGAAAGAGACGCTTGTTGATATTCGAGTCGGTAGGACAAATTTTCTCGCAGATCTTGTGGTCGTACGTGCACTTGTTAACCGTATGAACAGCCAGTGAAAATGCTTGTCGCGTCGATTCGCTCTCGTCGAGAAATGCCCCTGGGTCGGTTAAAACGCTGAATGAACTTTGATTTACAGTGGCTACGAGAGACATTCGGACATTACCTATCACAGGCTTTGGCAACAACTCTTGTACGTCGTGACTTTCCTCCAGGCATTCCGAGTGTAAGACTAAGACAACTACTAGGTAAAGGCTTATCATTGTACCTCCATTCCACAACTGTGAATACTGTAAATTGTAAATTGCAGTTAATTCTCTTATAGTGCACCATTTTTTTATATTTCAAATATCAATTCTAATGAAAGAAAAAAAAAAAAGAAAAAGAAAAAATTAAAGAACTGCGAGGATTGTTGCCTTTATTTGTCACCGACAAAATATTATTGTTTTGCCACAACGTTCATGAACAACATTCTCCGACAATTGCTATAATGTTAAATGATTATTGTTCGCTGTTACCGCATATCATCGAGTGAAAACGCATGACGTTTGGTCGCGAGCGCCGACAGCGAAACGCCGACTGACGAGTAAAACTTTAAACCGAAAGCTATTTTATTTTTAGATTATAAATGCCAATGGCTCATCTTTCAGTGAAAGAGTCGCGCGCATACGTGTTTTGCAGTAGTTCGTCCGAATTTTTCCATCGCGAAAAATCGCAACGAATGCGTTACGAACTTGCGCAAGCACTTCAGCAGCAAAGTATTTACTTCCGACAACTTGGCGAGGATATTGCTTATGCGCTGTCGGCTATAGGTCTGTTTATTTATTTTGAGATTGATAACAGCGCGGCAGCAGTAGTCAGTGAAACGCGAAGTGACGCGAGTGCACACTGCACGGGGAAAAAGATGAGCGTGATCCGAACTTGCCTGATTCCTGTAAACGCCAAGCCGTTCCGCGATCGAATGCCAAACGATTCAAGGATAACAATATACTCGCGTGGTGGGAGGATTCAACGATTAGCGTGAGCCATCGTTTGATGAACTCTCACGAGACAACTGGAATGGCAAAAGCACACAGCACTGAAAAGATTTTTTTCTCTTGATGTATATATACGAGTATTTTCTTCTCCGTCGTCGTCGTCGCGTCTTTTCCAAGCTTGAACGACGATGCTTGCGACACTCTCGACAAGCTTTTTCTGGTACGAAAGAGGGGAATATTGAGGGGATTGACCTGTTTGTGTAATAGCTTTTGGGACAAAAATTTGAAATTCATCTTTTACAAAATTTTTACAATCTACGAAATCGAAATAAAGAGTAATCCGTACAATTATTTTGAAGTCACGCTTTTTGATATAACTTTCGTAGATCCTAGAAGCAGTTATATAGCATTGTTTATCAGAAGAAAATTACGAAATATATAATCTTCCGTTGTCGTCTTTTTCTCGTGTGGAAGGTGGTTACTCGTGTTATTACCAATAAAAAATCCGCGAATAAAATATACCACCGATAAGACATAATGCATACATAATATTTTTGTTAAGAAAATTTTTCATGTAAATGTGATATTATTTTGAAATGTTTTTATTCTTTTTGTTTTGTACACGATCAATGGTATAATATGCCTTATATGATAGGAGATACAAAACCTTGAGAAAAAAAAGATTTATCAGAAATGCTAATGTAATCGTAATGTATCTATAAAAGGAAATTTTACACGTACTTGATGTTTTGACTATTATCAATTTGTGGTAAATTTCAGTAGAAGAACAATTCGAGCTATGCTCGGTTTTTCGAACGTACATTGCATTTGTCGTCGTTAAGTACGAGCATCTGACTAAAGTATACACGAACCGTTCTCACTTGATATGTACGCAGTGACACGTTTCAGAAATATTTATTGTTATTCCTTATACAAGCAGTTCTGTTAATTCGCAAAACCCACGAGTAAAAGCGAAAACCGCGGAAAATAATGACAATGGAAACTGCGTTGAAGAGACTCCTAGGCACGCGTCGTGACTGCCAAGTTATTCAAGGTGCCGTCGATAGAGCTGGTCTTCAAAGAGATCTGCTTACTTAACTCTGGTTTCAATGGGGTCGTTATTCTCAATTCCATTCGAGCGATTGTCCAAAAGCCAAGCTGCAAAATGTGAAGCGAGCGTTCGCTAGGCAGTGTCCGGAAATCGCCGTGAGTCACGGCAAAAATTTCAAATTTCACGTACCTCGGACGTCTTGGAAATGGAGCGAATACTGTGCGCGAACTCGTAGATCGTGTATACGAATGACAACGCGAGGCCCACTCCCAACACATAAAAAATACCTTTCATCTGCTCGAGCGTGAGGCGTGTGTACTCGATGGTCTCCGTTTTTTTGCTCTGAAACAGTCATACATCGCGTAAATCGATTTACGATGCTCGCGAGCATTGCTTCGGCGATAAACAAACACAAACTTCGCCGCAAACTGCGCCCTTCATGTTCCACCACTTGTCTTTCAGGTCTTTGATTTCCAGCGACTCCTGAAGTAGGGACATCACGTAATTCAACTCCTTGTGCTTCGTGAAATCTATAAAAATGACAAACTTTTTCATAAGCAATTTGGATGTGTTCCTGTCCAAGGCAAAAATACACTTTCGAAAATAGAGACGGTGTTTGTCGCTGTTTAAGCATTGAAAAATAAAATAGTCGAGAGAGGGTATCGTAATCTATTTTTTTTTTTTTTGATGTAATTTTAACGTACTTTGGGCATAAGTAATAGCATATGCCTTCTGATCGAGGAGTTTGCCTGTTTGTTGAAGTTCGCAGTTACGTTTTATTTCATATTCTATAGATGCAGATTCCATGAAATAAGCATAATTTATGTCTTTTCTTTTGGCGAACTCAACGCCCTGATTATTATCTTTGACTACGTACTCGTTCCAATCAGGATCCATCATTTGATCATAGAGTTGTCGATACTTTTTTGAGCTCTTCGTGTATCCGATGGAAAGAATACAATTTTTTGATACATTATTAAGAAATGAGTGGCGCTTTCGTAAAAAGGCATAAGTCGCTTATTATCTTTTATCCAGTTCAAAGAATTACTGTTGAAAGTTAAGTTTATAACGATAAAATATTTTATTACGAAAACTAAATCCGACGGATATTTGAATGCAAAATTATGATCGTTCGAAAAATGTAGAAGTAAAGGTATCTCTTTATTTTCGAAAATGGGACTTATACCATTTTGATTGAGCGCAAGGAAATACGAGTAGATAAAAAATTACTTTGAAATATTGCAATGTAGATCCACCCTCCTTAGCCCCGTATTTTATTTCCGTTTGTCCTATCAAATCATCAACGCTTTTCACAAGTACGACGGGTTTTTCTACTGTGAGAAAAGCAACCAAGTTGGCAATGCACGTATTAACGATGATCAAGCAAAAGAACCACCTGCAAGAATTCCAGCAACAAGTCGGCAGAAAGTTTTACCAGAGAGAAGAAAGATCAACTAACCACCAGCCAGCTAAAATCCTGGGAGCGAGACCTCTAAAGACGAAAAGAAAGAAAAAAAAAACAATAATAAATAAGTCGAGGTTTGAGTGTGAAAACGCAAACGCACATGGGCATGATTTCAGAGCCTTGCTGCATTTTGGAACCCATGACGAACCACAAAGCATTGCCAATAGTAAACTGATTGTGAAGCTCGGCAGGCTCGTCGATACAGGGAAACGGATTTATCCATTCGCCTGGGCAGAGACGGCCTAAGATGTAAAAGAACGCGCCCATGACGTAGAAGGTCAAGGCGATGCACAGCCAGACCAGGTGGTGGAAAGGCGCGAAAAACGAGTACCAAGTGGCCTCGGCCTTCTGCGGCTTCTTGAACAGTATGCTGATGCCCAGGCTCATGAAGGCTGTGGAAAATTGCACGCACTTCTGGCGATCCTCCGTGATTGTCAGGTCCGTGATCGCCAAGTCCACTTCCTGCGCAAATGTAATATAACGCGCGTAAAAGACAAAGTCTGGGAAGAGGATGTCTCACGTTTTTCAAAATGTTGTTCATGATGCCGGTGCACTGGCACACGCCAGTCTTGTCCTCTCTCTTGCAATTGCCATTGTTCCTATCCTTCTGCACGTAGAACGTATAGTCGAAGCTCATCCGTCCGCTCAGTTTCTTGATCAGGTCAATGACGAAGCCCTCGTAGCGATCGTTGCCCTCCAGTGTATTCGTGTGATTCTTTTCGAAGGCGTAAGGAGGCGTCTGCAACGTTGACAATTCGCGCGGTCATTCGCGTCGCGACGATAGCGGCGGCGCAGATCGCACGCGTACCAGCGTGATCAGAACTCTGTAATGCTCTCTGGTCCGAGTCTTTACAAGGTAGAGCTCGCTGAAGCCATCCTCGGAGTTCCATTCGCCGACTCTCGCGAGGCCCGACTGATGGAGATTGATCACGCTCAACTTGAAGCGACGTCGCACCCCGTCACCGTCTATCATCACTGGCCCCGTCAGTCCCATTACTTCGGTCTGCAACAGTTTCGCAACGTTACTGACCGATGCGGCGATGCGCCCTCAACGCTCGGCGATCTTTACTGACTGCCAGCATGTAATTTCTCAGACTGACGCCGTCCTTCCACGGCGTCTCTTGGTCGTAAGCGCGGGGCAGCAGAGCGCCGCGCTGCGCGTGCTCGTACTGGTAACTGAAGTCCTTGTAAGCCTGGGCGAACAGAGCGACCGCGTCGAACATCACAGCGTCCTGGACGCGCAGCTTGTTCACGTGGTCGATGCCCAGCTCGTCCAGGTGCTTGCTCACGAAATCGCTCACGAACGGATTGTCCACGTCGACTAGTTGCAGCCCAGTTATGTTGACGCCGGAGTAGCGGTACGGATGGAGATTTAACGCGTGCAGATCCTGAAAGAGCCGGCCAACAACGCGGATTTCCATGCTGCTCGACGCTCCCTTCGACGGCTGCCACGCGCTTACCAGGGTTGTCACAACGTATCTGAAGGATTCCGTCATCAGTCCTACTTGCTGCGCCTGCTTCAGTACGTCACCTAGTATGCGGAAGCCGCAGTCAATGAGGAAGGATTTCTGCTTCGTAGCCTTGACTTTCAGGAGTGTTTCGCTGAAATACGCGTGCCAACTTTCAGCCAACGTACGAAAGCCAACGGACAAAGTGGCGACGGCGCGCGTACCTGAAAGTCGTCCGGTCGGAGCCTAACTTGTAGGCGTAAATCTTGTGGCTTTTTATCGGGTACATTTTCAGCAGGTTGTCCAGTGCCAGCAGGTTTTCAGTTCTCTCGTACAGTATGGAAAAATCCGTCCAGTTCAACTTTCTAATCATTTCGACGTACACCTTTCAAAAGTACGAAGCGAACGCGAAAAAAGGCTGTCGAATAGCTTGTAAGAAGCGCGACAATCTACCTTTGCAAGGGTCTCGGTGTCCGGGTAAAAATTCAACGACCGATGGAAATCGTGTTCGAAATCCAATTCTCGCCTGATGATCGCGTGAGGAATGTCGTGGATCTCGCAAACTCCTTGGACGTAGAGCGAGGGAATGCGAGCGTGCGGCCCCACCACGACTGCCAGACCGTCGCACTCACCTCCGCTGAAATCGCCTTCGTTACTGACACACGCTAGCTCTCCAACTGTCAGATCAATCGGTAAACTATCAATCGGCGAGTGCTTGCGACGAAGGGACCAACTGCTAAACGCTAACGTTCCAAGGCTTTCTTCGTTGCAGTTATTCCAATGCTTTTATGCGCTCACGGAGCCCCGTAATACCTTCTTTTTGCGCTCGCCCAAACCTTCAGAATTAAATTCAAAGTGCACGAGACGAAAATTCAATAGATAAGATGCTTTTGCGCGCATCCGAATACCGAGTACCGCAAGGTGCAACATCTTAACTTCACCGCGATCTCTCGATTAGAGCAATGTTGAAGAAAAGTTATATAAGGTGTGGATATGCCTCAACGAACATTGTTTGTAAAGATCAATCAAGTCGTCGGCAGCTTCAACGGCAATCGCACTAAACTCGACTTGGTGGAAGAGGAGCTGGTTGATGCCGACCGGTGTCGGGTGCATTGTCTCGCAAATTTCTCGATCGTACATGCACCTGTTCACCGTGTGCACTGCCAGAGAAAATGCTCGCCTCAGCGATGAATTACTGCCGAAGTACGCGCCTGCAATCATCAAATGACCGTTAGGTTGTCGTTTCTAATCGACTCGACTAGACTGTGATTACCTATCACGGGCTTCGGAACAAACTGCCTGTAATTGTTGCTTTCCTCCAGACATTTCACGTGCAAAACGAAGGCCAGCACCAGACACGGGACGATCATTCCGATCCCATAGTATACCGGATGCGAGTAGTGCCAATGTACATCTGCAATCTGAAATAAGTCGCACATTGCTGAGACTAATTCCCGAAGAATATATGTTAGCATTTGCTTCGTCAATTTTATTAAAGGGCGCCTGGCAAGATACTCCGACTATTTGGCACTGGAAATTTGTCGCGATCGATCGAAGCGAGAGCGCCGCACGTTACATCCGGTAACGCGGGCTGCCTTTACGACTCGCGCGGAGTAAATGCCGACCCGAAGACCAAACGCCAAAACGAAAACTATTTTATTTTTAGATCATGTGAAAGCCTATCGTTGCTGCTCTTGTTGACGGAGTTACGAGTCGAGCCTTGCCACGGGGGGCACGGCAAGTCTGGATTTGCACGAGCGACGTAGCAATAACGATGCGCGTTGTCGTTCCAATCACGCTCATCTCTTTACGAGCTTGCGAATCTCGAAAAGTTTGGCAAACGAGGGAAGGGGAGACGCAAGGTTTATTTGGCTTGATGACTTTATGAGCTTGGATTGCGCGCGCGTACACGTGCAATGTTTTGTTAGATAAACACGGGAATGGCTCTTGATCTATTTTCTTATTGATTATTTATGCGAGAATTTTGTGAGCTTTCGTTGGAACTTCGCGAAACTTCGACGTGTTAAAGCGTAGATTATCTATGCAGTTAAGGGAATAACTTCTGTCGAACGAATCTTGTGTCGGAAATGAAAAGGCGGTCGCCTCTGTTGTAATGTAATTCATTAGCAATAAGAACACTAAATGAACACTGAAGCATTTATTCGACTGCCGAAAACGTAATCAATACAAACATTGCGCACTCACCAGAACAACAAATTATCTTTGCGAACTTGTAGCTAGGTTGACTCAGGCACTCAGCTCGACTGTATTTCGACGCGAGCTTTGACGAGAAGAATTTTTTTTAAGCGCAAGCTGCGTGTATTTTTTCCTCCGCTCGCGCGTCCCTCCTTTCGACCTCGCCGTAGAGCTTTTATTCTTTCTTTTGCAATACGAACTGTTACGAACTGAGTTGCCGGTACAAGTTCGGGCGTCGCAAATACAATTAAAACCATTTTTTTGTTTTCTTTTTGTTAAGCATTTTTTTCATGCACATTATCACGCTAACTTTCAAAGATATTTGCGAATGCATACGCACTGGAAATAAGAAAAATAATTAATTTCAACTGAAGAATCACATTATTATCACAACTATATAGTGCTTTATTATACGAAAGCTCAAAAGTTTTACGATATTACTTTATTGACAATCAATGAATATTCTCTACAACTTTATAAAGCTTAAGCATTTATCTACAGGATTATACATCAATTTCTTTCAATAGCTAAATAATACAATACTGCAATCCGTTACATTTTCAGAAAGACAATCATTAAAGTCAAATTCTCAATATAGATATTACATAACTTATAACTATGAATGTAACGACAGCTATATTATAATATATAATGAATAGAATGTACATTATCAAAATTCTATTTTGTTTATATCAATGTGATTTATGTGAATTTTAAATCTTCAATAAAAATAAATAATTCTATCTTACAAAATGACAATCATGCATCTAATGATCGCTGTGTCTTATTTATACTTCTATTCTTGTCAATCTCGTATTTTGAAGCTAAGAATATTAAAATTTTTAATAGTGCATATATTTGTTCAAATTTATAACTTTTCCATTATTCAATCACGTACATTATAGCATAAATTAATTTGTACAAATTTATGGTTTGTTTTCTCTTTTTACTATTGCTAACGTTGTTTAGCTCGCTTTCTGTTGCATGTTTGTATGTTATTTAATACACTGATAGAACCTTTTACATGCTAACTTTGAGATTCTAGTAGTATATGCAATTTGAAATATACTAAAACTATCAATATTCATCTACGAGTAAAAATTGAATTTGCACTTGTTATTTCACAAAAAATCGATTAAAGCTTACTCGAAATTGGTGGCTTTGTGATTGCCTCGTGCAAAACGCCCGCTAACATGTTTCAAATGTGACGGGCTTAAAGCACCTCACAAATAACAATATTTGTGAGGTGCTTTCTCTTGCAACCGAATTTTAAGACGGCGATATTAATTTCAATATCGCAGATAGGAATCGATTTGTACCGATAATTCCAGCATAATTGATGAAACATGGCCTCTTATTTTCTTAAAATGATTTATTAACTGTATAGTTCCATGCTTACAGATTATCATCCATACGTTATTCATAAATTGAATGTACTAGTGAATATAAATCTCCTATTCATAAATGTATAATACAAATGTTTCAAATAATAATAAAATTCAAAATGTCGTGCGTTTTTTAGGCAATAATGATAATTATAATGCTGCATGTCATCGGCGAATCAACATTTTTTTAAATATAGGATTCAAATAATTAAATACGTATCAGATTTTGAAAAATTACTCATGTAATGATTATTACGATTGAAGGCATGGTTAATCTTTTTGCAAACTTTATTTTAAACATCTAGCCGGATACGAAACGTCTTTTCGGTTATTTATAATATTAACTCAAGTTTAAATTTTTCACAAGTATATAATGATAGTTGAATAAAAAAATTAAGCACAATTCTAGTAAGAAAAATATCTATTTACGTTGGTGCGTTTTCATTCAATTCTGAGTAGTTTTCAGAAATAAATTGACTATAACTACAAATCCTTTTGAGTAATATAACTTTATTCAGAAATGTGACGTTTCGGAATTTCATTACATTTGTGAAAAGACTATCATTTGTTGTCAAACTATGTAAAATTTAAATTGTAATGTTTAACATACTTTTTTGCATACTTAATAAGTGAAAATTAATTACATTTGCGAAACATTGCATTTTTGAATAAGTTATTATTGGTTAAAAAGATCTGGAATAGTAGGAAACTTTTTTCTAGAGAACTTTTATCTTTTAATAAAACAATAGTACATTAGCTAACTAATGCGGGAAAGTAGACTGTTGTCTCGTGTGACGTTTACGCTCGAGTTAAGTGATGCTGGAAAGGCAGATGAGATAAGAATCTCTTTCTCGAACATGTTAGGTGTAGTTATTTTTTCAAAACAACGCGTGGAAAGCACGAATTTAAATCCAGATTTTTCGCCGAGTCTCCGACAAAATCGTACTTTCTGCAAGTGCGTATTAAAAAACTATGTTCCTCAAAAGTCGAACGAAATATCTCTTTAAGAACTAAACTGCAGTAAGGCATTTTTTTTTCGAATAATGACGAAAATAACTTTCAAGCATATGAACTTTCTTGATTGTGCACGTGAAACTTGTTATGATCGTTATTTAAAGATTCTGCAGCAGACGAATTGGTGTTAACACGATGCCCAGTAGAACGAGACTGAAGGCGAGTACAGCTCCTGGATGTGACCTTTTGGTTGTGTTCAAAATGGAATTCTGCAAAGATCGTGAACAAAAAATCAAATCTAATGTTTCTCGATCTGAAAATTAAACTTGCACTTACAAAACAAGAAGCAGCGGGGTCGTACCACCATTTAGTATACAGATCCGTAATAATGAGTTTGTCCAGTTCGTCGCACACTTCCTTGTTGGCCATTTTTCTCTCTGGGGCATCTACATTAAATACCTTTTTTTGCTATGTGTCAGGTCATAATAATAATTGGTGCGTTTTTCTTTTTTCATTGACTCACTGTTCCCGCAAGCGATAACGTAGGCTTTCGGATCGATGAGGTAAATTTTAGGATCAGACTGCTCAGTGATTTGATCCTTCTTTGATTTGTGAATCCCTGGCAATTGAAGTTTCTGAAAATAAAATTGAAACTGCGGATGATCCAGGCCCTGTTTGAACACAAAATGTTTCAAATAATTTTTAGATTTAATGCCCATTTGCAATTGAGCGGTAATAATATGTTTATAGATGGTAATTGCAAATATCAATACATCTTCACCTCCAGATAGTTAAAGACACATTCGCATTTTTCATCATTAAAATTATCGCCATCGCCGTTGCATATATCTTCCATATTTTTCACGTCTTCGAAAAAATTATTCAGCGTCTGAAATATAATCGCCTGAGAAAGGTAGGTTGTCGCCATAAATAGGAAAAACAGCCATCTAAATTATTGGAAAAAGTACATTTCCGTTCGAATGAGTTCAAAACTGAATACAGAAAGCAAAAAATCTTTTTATTACAAAATGAACTCACAAAAATCCTGTTATTAATGTTGACGATGAGTTGCTGCAATAAAGGTACATTCTTATCAGTCACATGGCACAGAATAAAATTATTCGGTTTAAATGTTTAGCGATTATATTTTATTTAATTTAAGATATTCGCATTTACCTGTCCGATGTTAATTCTGATGTATTGGAGTCTATATATTCCGTAGATTTTTCATCTAATAAGTCTGTAGAATCCATGATTTTTATATAATTAATGTTTACTAAAAATCTATAATAATTGATAAACTTTAATAATGGCCAAATTGTAAGTATTCATTGCAAAAGAATGATGATAATGCATCTAGTCTGAAATTCACGCGACGCGGTCTGTAGTGACGGACGAATGCGACTGCAGCATAACCAACGATGGTCTCGGAATAGAAATCTCTTATTTTTCATCTTTAGATACAAGCAGATACTGCTGCTGTGGCGCTTATTTTGGAGTCAATGGGCACAAGTTATGGGATTTTAAAACGCGTTATCCTACATTCAAATGTAATTCCTGAATAGACGAAGTAATTCATTTTTCTTCCTAATTTCCTAATTTTTGAATGTAACGTATGATTATTTGTTATTTGTACGCGTGAAAAAAAATATTCACTTCGATAGCAACGATTTCATAAAAAAAAATTACCTACAACAATCTTTAATTTGACGCTCACGTCAATATATATTACAATCTTTACCAACTGATACATTTTCAATTTAAAATTATAGTAGGAGTTAGTTACATTTTAGCTGAAGCATTAGTACAAACAAAACTTATTCCATGGTAAAATTTCATTCAAATTTATTCAAGTAGAATAGCTTGTAGCTATCGAGATAATATTTAGATATTTCAATTTAGCGACAATCTTATCAGCGAACATTTAAAATTATACTTGACTTTACTTTACATGGGTATTATAGGTATCTGTCTGAGACGCCGATAAACCAATAAGCAGGCGTGAATATTTGAAATTATATTAATAATGCATATGAAAAAGCTTAGACTATTCAAACATCGCAATGTTTGCGTACTTGTTTGCGCAAATATCTAACTGTATCTTTATATATAGATAAAAATTACATTGAACGTTGCAGAAAATCTAGTAAACGTCCACCTGAGTGTTTTATAATATTGAACGACCAGTGTCACATTGAAAATGATAATAATTTACCCTCGATATCAATATCAATTGGCCGGCCACAAAAACCGGAAAACCATTCCATTGTTACTCGATCTAATTCCATCTTTAAAATATTCAAGAGCAATTCCAACTTGCTACATTAATGATACTAGCCGTTTAGATTTTAAGATATAGCAATGAGTGTTTAATAATAGTAAAATTGCTGAAATACGTGCTTGTACTAAAAGAATAACATTAAAACAACTCGTCCGTACTGATATCTGGGTATAATAGCGAAAATTATGCTTGCGATCGGTATACCAGCTCTCAGTTAAGAGAGCTACTGCCATCTACTGAAACTAAACTAAATTAATCTGCAAAAATGGCGTCTTAGTCAGATGTGCAAGGCGGGAGGTCTTATCCGAATTACCCCAGGTACCCCCGCTCTTATTATTTACTACAGCTGATTGACTTTAATGCATCAGATCAAACTTTATAATAACATTAGTAACGAGTACCTATTATCTAAACAATGAGCAGATGGAATTTAAAAAAGTTACGTTTCGCGTATTAATTAATTTGGGAAGCATGCGCACTGCTTTGGCGTTTGGACGGGAGCCAGTAGTTATAGGTCGAGACAGTTTTTTATTTTTAGTTGCTTAAATAATCAAATTATTCATGATTTTATTATGGGTGCCGTTAGTTCGTCTTATGAACTAACGATTGGTTTACGTATAAATTTTTTTTAACAATTTTTTCTAGGTTTTACCGGAACTTTGGTTTGGGTGCTAAGATCAGCACCCAAGACTTATTTTATTAATTTCAAAGGAGTTCCAGTGGACGAACTAACAAACGGCAAGAGAAAAGTTGTTGCTATCTTGACGAAATATCTAACGGTATGATTAGTTCATCGATTATTTAAAAAAAATTGATTCTGGGTGCTAACTTTTAAGATCTGCGAAAATTGCGAGGTCTGAGGCCCTCGCCACATATGCGCATATGCGCGTGTTCGAGAGCGTACAAACGCGTACAAATCGCTAAAAATTTTGACAGTACCAACAACAGAAAGTTACTACTATTCCTCGAATGCCCCAAACGAACACACTTATTCCCAGAACAAACGTATCATAACCTTCAATAATATAGCGTTATGATACGTTTGTTCCGGGAGTAAGTGTGTTCGTTTGGGGCATGCAAGGAATAGAACTTTCTGTTGTTGGCACTATCAAAATTTTTAGCGATTTGTACGCGTTGTACGCCCTCGTACGCGCGCGTATGCGCATACATATGTGGCGAGGGCCTGAAAGCAACTGCAAGAGCAAGAAGATTTTTGAGGATCTCTTCCAGATTTTCCCGCCCAGCCCTACAGATGAGCAATAAAATTTCACTATTGCAGAATACCTTTCATTTTATTGTTTTCTGTATCGTTAATTGTTATCGATAAATATATAGACAGGTATAAGCATTTAGACGGTGGATCCGCGAATTAGTTCCATAACCAAGGCGCAGGTTTGATTTAATAAGTGAATGACGTTAACTTATTCTGTTCAAAATCTCAGTGATCATATAAAAAATGTTTAATACATTTTTCAGCTTATTCATTAAAAATCTCATATCATAACCCTAAATCGATTTTGTAGAAAATCACAAATTCATTTGATACCTCCTAATGGTTGAAATTTAGCTCGGTTGTGCGTGGATGTGCATCAACAGATTTAGAATATATCAAATCGATATTGAATATCGCAGTGATATTAAATAATATCGATCACGTTGGACTGCAAAATTGATATTGTTCAAAAGATAAACTTTGTACTATTAGTAGAAGAACAGAAGAGGTTAAGTTGCGAAAAATCAAATATCAAAAAGATTATTAAATTACTTCTTTTGCTTAACAAATTGCTAAAGCAAACAAAGATTGAAAGAAGAGTAAGGGAAGTATAGATATGAAGTATGAAAGAAGAATAAGAGAAGAACAATAATTAATACAAACAGTATTGTTGACTGATCCTCCAGATTATAGAAATATTTTAAGAATGTCGGCTGAACTTTTTAAACATTTATTACAATCAGTTGGCTCAGCACAAAAAGTAACATTATTGGATCCTTTATGCCAATTAAAACAAGATTAGAACTTATGTTAAGATATTAGACTAGTGGTAATAAACAAAAGTCATTGGAATTGAAGTCTAATACAATACCATGAACAGAGGCTGGACTCAGTCTAAAGAATTTTCCTGATGACTTTTGTTTATCATGATTAGCCAAATATCTTAATATGAGTTCTCATCTTGTTTTAGCTGTAACAGAATCCAATGGTGTTATTTTTTAAAATAGTCTGGCCAACTAATTGTAATAAATATTCAAAAAGTTGAATCGACATTCTTAAAAAATGTCTATAATCTTGAGCATCAGTCAAGAACACTGTTTGTATCAAAATATCACTTACTCCATAGGTAACTCTATTGGCTTCTGTTAACAGTTCCTTCATCCATATTTCTTTTACTCTTCTTTCATTCTTTGTTTTTGCAATTTAGTAAGCAAAAGATGCAATTTGATAATATTTTGAATATTTAATTTTTCCCAACCTTTTTTTCTCTTTTACGAATAGCACTCAGATTGTCTTTATAACACTATCAATTTTGAAATCTGATATGATTAATATTATTTAAGTATGTGACATTTGACATTGACTTGATATATTTTAAAAATTTTAATTTATATCCACACTTAAGCTAAATGTTGACCATTAGGAGGTATCAAATTAATTTGTGATTGTTTACAAAATTGTTTTAGGATTATGGCAGAGACATGCAAGCAATTTTAAATTAAACTGGAAAATACATAACATTTTTTATATAATTTTGAATGATTTGTATAAATTTTATATATATTTAAACAATATCATATGTTCAGAATTATCCAGATTTTAAACATAGTAACTTAACGTCATTTCCATATTGAATCGAACCTGCCACGTAGGCTGCGGAACGAACTTGCGGACCGACCACGTAAATGTACCCTTACTTTATTACATACGTTAAAAAGCGTACACTCAATCGTTCAAAAAAATGTTAAAAGTCCCCTATATCTTAAAAATTGCGATATGATTTGTATATGAATTAGAATCGAGATTCGAACTAATCAAATGCTATATCTAGTTTCACATCTGAATGAGACGTTGCATTATAATTTGTGCTTGCAAATTAAACGTTTCCGTTATATATGATCTACAGTTTAAATTTTATTTTTATCATTGATAATCATTTGTAAGCAGAATTATAAGATTGTAAGCATTTATATTTAAGACCGTTTAGCAAGCGAGCAATTCGCACGCGAAAACGGGCTCGCAAAAACTGCAACCTAGATCTTGCGCGCCTACCCCTTTTTCCTAGATTTTCCCACGCGAAATGCTAAAACAGTCTTTATATTTGATACACTGAAATGAAACAAAAAATCTTCTATGTCAATTCTAATTATTATTAGAAATTTCGAGTTTATAATTACATATTTATAAAATGTATTCAATTAAAAAAACCAGACTGATTTAATTATTAATATTAGCAGTGAATTTCGGATTTGACTCGACCATGACAAATTATAAAGGCCATTTTGATGAAAAAGCCCATCGATTTATCAAACATTCACGTAAAGGTGGAATACATCAAAATGTAAAGAAACAAAAAAAGCCCTGGACAAAAATAGGTGAATTTCAAGCAAAGAAAGCAAAGGAATCGACTAAAAAAGTCAGTGTACACCATAAAAAGCTTATAGATCTGTCGGATTTCCGACCCAAACGTATGCTTGATTTCAACATGAATAAGAAGGAAATAATTATGGAGGGCAAATTCGTGGGATATGAAGGTCCTGCTATTGTTATTTTCGAAAAAAAAATGTCCAAGCACTGGCCTTTGCTTGAAATGGAATTTTTTAACAAGAAAACTTTTACCAAGCAAGTTTCAATTAATGATGTGTATGGCGATTACATCTGCTTTCCCAGAGATGATATGAGTGGTAAATTATCTTGTTATTAGAAAATTAATTAATTACTTTTTTTTCTTTCGCTTATCTTATACTATTACCGATTGGCACCGTATATTATCAACAATTATAATTTCAATTACCTAAAGTTATACATATTTTGTTTTTTAATTTAAAACCTAAATACATACACAATTACGCAATTAATTATTCAGAATTTTCGTTATAATAATTTATCAAGTTATTGTTGAATAAGTCTTTTCTTTTCTTTTAACAAAAAAAAAATAATTAAAAGGATGGAAAATGAGAATCATACATCCAGCTTCTCAAAAGCATCTTGATAAATATACCAAAATCATGGAAAATGTCTACTTAGTCAATGAAACGTATGAGACCTACGAAAAAATTACTCGGCCGTATGTAGAATCAGAAGCTTTATCCGTTCAGGTATAGACGTAATAGTATTAATATTAAAATTCTATAAAACATTTTCTTAATTAATGACATTTTTTCCAGTGGATAAATGACATCTTGAATGATAAAGCCGAACGCGATCATATCATACACAACGATGACGACGAAGAAATAGGTTTCGTGATGTTGCCAGACTTGAAATGGAATGGCTCGCTAGAGAACCTGAATTTGATAATCATATCGAGAAAAAATATAACCTCACTTAGAGATTTGAACGAGACCCATTTACCATTATTGAAAAATATTAGAGATGTCGGTACGTCCATTATGAAAAATATATATGACTTAGTACCATCGCAATTTAAAATGACTGTACACTATCAACCAACTTATTATCACTTCCATGTACTTGTCTCGAAACTGATGTTTAAAAGTCAAGGTGAATACCATACGCTTGTTATTCTGTGAATGCATATATAAATCTGCAATCGCTATACTGTTTATAAGCTTTTCTGCGACTCAAAATTTTAGGTGAACATTTACTGTCGACGGTAATCAATAATATCGAAATGGTTCCGAATTATTACCAAAGAACTGAATTATCATTTTTCTTGAAGGAAAGCCATCTATTGTACAAGAAATATCAAGATAGTGGCATCATAATTTCTAATGAAGTGGAAGTGTCCGAAGATTAAACGCTATAAATTTATATAAAACTATATGCATGGAAACGTACTATAGATAAACTAGGGAAAAGAATTTTCAAAAAAGTTTCAAAAAAGGTTTGTAATACAACGAATTGTGATAATGTATAGAATAGTTGCGTTTTATAAATTTTATAAATTTTAAAAAGATATAATTTAAAATAAATCATTTTATATTTTGTTCGCAATGTGCAATGTTATTTTACAGAAACAAGCTTATTTTTCATGATAAGCTTATTTCAAAATGTTATACATACCAAATATAAAAAAATATAATTAAATTTTGAATACAAAATTATGTTTTCAATAAGGTATCTTAAGCACATTTTTGGTTGCTTCTTTAAAATATTTCAAGTTAATAGGATTTTTCCATAAAAGCTCAGATGACTTAAGTCAATAAATTAAAGGACAATTGTGTTATCGACTTTTTAATATTTTCCTTAGAAGAAAGTTTTTTCGAATTGCGTATTATGTATTGAATTGTTTCACACCTAAGATTAGTCGTGTTATACTTTTCGATAAATTGAAGAGTGTTGTAGAGATTGTCATAGGACAAGTGTTGTATACATTTTTTCTTGCAGAGACATTTTCGTGTTGTTAATTCGTATTTATCCGCTGCTATAAAAAGTTTGTTTAGATAATCCTCTGCGTCCTCTACGTCCCCTATGTAAATATAACGGATCAGCTGTCTCATGACTCTCTTCAATTGCTTCGATGACCACTTCGCTTTTATGTCGGCCTATGACGTCGGTCTGAAACATGATTGTGAAAATAGGACTGTGCGCGGCTAAAATGGACTTGTGTATTTGAGTGATGGTGTGACCAATTTTGAAATCACAGTTACTGAACTGCGGTTTGTCGTACATGTTTTCAAAGTTGTCCATCAACGCGTTGTGGTTCCTTGTAGTGATCCACGGCAGATCCAGATGCAACACTTGGTCAGTGCCATCATAAATCAAGATCCGACAGAACAATCTCAACTCCTTGTTCGGATGTATCCATCGAGCCCAACAAATTGCTTCTTTCCGCGAATCTCGGAAAGTAAACGTCCCTCCAGTTATGCCTCGTTATAGCTGTACTTTACTCAACCCATTTTTTGAATTCCCTGTCGATAGTGGACAATTTGCCCACAGCCTTTGAATACAAACTACTCCAGATTTCTTCGAGTGGTGGTAGCTTAGGGTAGATTTTCTAATTCCAAACGTACTGATATCCCAGGATCAGTCGCGAGCAGCAGTAGCAATATTTTTCTTCGGTGCAAACTTTATTGCTTGCCGTAATTGGAATGTTCGTAGAGCACGTTAGTCAATGGTTAATCAATCGAACGAATATCGGCGAACCCAACGATCTATTTTCCATTTGTAACTTACCTGTATTCACCTACTAGCTGAGCGTAATACTTGTATCCAAATAGTCTCCGTCAGTCTTACGACTTACGTGAAACGTATACTTACGTGAAAAACTAACGCGCAACAAGATTGCTGATGGGTTCGCGTCTAGAGGCATTTCAAATGGGAACACAGTCTGCATGAGTTGGCATCGGTTGACAGCCGATTGTATCATTTAAATATAGAGTCGCGGCAATTGTGAAATATGTACTATTGAAGCGCATTCTCATAATTATTATCTTATAAACAAAGGTCATAAAGAAGAAATGCACGGAAGAACAGTTTGTAATAGATTTGCAAAATATGGTTCGGTTATTTTACGTTTATTTTACCAATGCCACATTATAATTCTACATTTTCTCGAGAGTAAAGACATTGTTAGAGAGCTTATCTTTTTTGTCAGTATTTGTACTGCGAAATGTAAAAACGGCGTATGCAGGCATAGGTCGATAAAAAGGCAATGACTACCTTGAAAGGAAGCACGAAGTAAAAAAAATCACAGTGTTCGCATTAAAAAACGTGGTTCGTATAAATTGGCCGTGCGAATTGCAAAAGTAGAATCGTCAAAGGGTAATTCGGAAAAAGCGATATCGCGAAAGATGAGCTCTACAACTGATCGTACTCGTTGAGCAGCCTTTTGTTGTGAGGATCGAACGGACTCTTCAAATACATCTGAGCCGGATACATTTTGCCCATTATTTGCACTTGGTATTCGCCAGACTGCAGAAACTCATTGGTTAAAATTTGATCTTGCGGATGCTTGATGTACCTGTAATATCGCAAGTGGCGTTTAGAGAAGAGTACGTAGACGTATTTGGTCGAAGGAATAAATTGCGAAGTACTGACGAGTGTCCAATACTGTAACCGAAGGTGTGGGCGTATTCGGCTCTTGTCAGGTATCCAACGATCTCTCCATTTCTATAGACCGTTTCCAGGCCCCACATAGGCACTTGACTGGGTGAAAGAACGGAAAGGAGCAACGACTCGAATATCGAGGAAGAGGCGTGGAAGAGGCGTGGTAAAAGCGTAAACGAGCACTTACTGCTTGACGTGCAGAGAGACCAATTTCCTCTTGACGCCGTTTTTGCGCAAATTGTCGACGGCGTCGCTGCCCAAATACTTGCCGTCCTTCCTGCAGGTGAAGCCCAAATTGGCCTCGATCGGATTGTCGTCGGACCTCAGATCGGAGTTCCACAGGTGAAATCCTGGAAAGCGAAAGGCGAAACGCGCGAGAAGTTGTCGGCGCTGGCTCGCAGGAGAAGCGTCGTACCCTTCTCGCAGCTGAGGCTGTAGAGCGCGCGGTAGCCGGCCAGCTTGAGGCGCCACGGCTTGCCGAGCTCGACGATGCCCCGGAAGACCTTCTCGCAGTGGTGAATGGGGATGTGCAGCTCGTAGCCCAGCTCGCCGACGAAGCTGATTCTGAAAGCGCGCACGAGCTTGCCGTTGGCCCGCACGAGCTTGGAGCTGGAGAACGGGAAGTCGTCGCCGGCGAGGTCCGCGTCCACGAGGTTCTGCAGGATCTTGGCGCTGTTGGGGCCCTGCAGCGACAGGACGCCCATCTGGTCGGTGGCGTTGTGAAAGCTCACGTTGAAGCCCTTGTCCGCGACGATGCGGCGGATGTGCGCCCAGGCGTGGTAGGCCGACAGGCCGGCGGACACGACGTACAGGGCCTTGCCCTTGAAAATGGGATCGACGACGCCGCTGGAGCCGGGCAGGATCCAGGTGATGGTGCAGTCGGCCTCGGTGCCGCCGCGCTTGTTCAGCATGCAGGTGTAGACGGTGCGGTCGACCTCCGCGTCGGTGCAGCCGGTGAAGAGGAAGTCCGCGGCCTTCTGCGCGTCCGGGCCGCACAGGTAGAACTTGCCCAGGTACGAGGCGTCGAAGAGGGCCGCGTTGCCGCGGCAGGCCAGCGCCTCCTCGCGGATCTGCGGGCAGCGAGCGGCGCGCCGTCAGACCGGGCGTGCTCGCGCGCGGCTTCGCGTTCGACACTCACGTGGTCGAAGTGCGCGGGGAAGTCGAAGCTGGCCTCCTGGCGCAGCAGCTCGGTGTACCGGCACTCCCGGTTGCGGGCCGTGCCGTAGCTGCCGTAGTAGTCGTAGGCCGGCACCGGGGCCGTGCCCTGGCGCAGGAACCAGCCCGGCCGCTCCCAGCCCTGGCGCTCCTCCATCACGGCTCCGGCGCCCACCAGCAGCTGGACCGACCGACGGCACACGGTTGGTGAGAGTTACCACCACGCGGCCGCGCGTTACCTCGTGGAAGGGCCCGGTCCGGAAGTTCCTGCCCGCGAGCGGCTGGTCGTGCGGGAACACGATGGCGTAGCTCTTGACGTAGGCCTCGTGGCTGCGCTCGGTCGCCCAGACCACGTCGCGCGTCTGCTCGGGCGTGAACCTGCGCGCGCGCGAGAGAGAGAGAGAGAGAGGGTGGGACTGGCGTCCGAGAACCGGCGGCTTACCGGCGCACGTCGTGCGAGAACATGTGCCTGCCGGGCCGGCCGTGCACGATCCACTCGGCCACGCGCGCGCCGCAGCCGCCGGCGAGCATCACGCCGGCGCTGTTGTAGCCGCACGAGTAGAAGAAGCCGGCGCAGCGCGGGTCCTCGCCTGCAACGACACGCTCGATGGCGGGGCGGGGCGGCGCACGGGCTTACGCGCTCACTTACCCAAGATCGGCCGGTGGTCGGGGGTGAAGCTCTCGGGGCCGCAGACCGTGGACCGGACGCCGACTCCGGCCAGCTCCGGCACGAGGCTGCTCGCCGCCCGCATGAGCGCGCCGAACACGCTCCAGTCGAGCTCGTACAGCCCAAAGGAGAAGTCCTGGGCGACCTGTCGGGCGGGAGCGGCGGTCAGTGGGGGCGGCCGCTGGCGGCGGTGCGCGCGGCCGCTCAACCGACACTCCGCAGCACGATGGGGTTGAGCTCGTAGCCGCCGACGCTCAGCGAGCCGCCCTGCGCCTTCAGGCAGACGCTCAGGTCGTGGTCGCGCACGTTGGGCATGCCGCGCGCGCGCGCCAGCGGCTCCGTCACCACGTAGGCGTGCTTCATCGGCGTCAGCGGGATGTCCAGCTTGACCATGCGCGCGACCTGCCGCGCCCAGGCGCCGCTCGCGTTCAGCACGCAGCCGGTGCGGATGAGGCCGCGGTCCGTCTCCACGCCGGTCACCTGCTTCGAGCCGAAGGTCTTCTCGTCGGTGAGCACCCGCGTCACCGGGCACTCCTCGAATATCTGCGGGGCCGAGGGCCGCGTTAGCTCCGCGTCAGCCTCCTCGGCCGCCTCCTCGGCCGCCTGCTCACCTGCGCGCCGCGGCTCCTCGCGCACCTGGCCAGCGCGGCGATCATGCTCGCGGGCTCGATCGCGCCGTCCCGCGGCGAGTGGATCGCGCCGACGAAGGCGCGCTCGTCGAGCAGCGGGCAGAGCTCCGCGGCCTCGGCGGCGCTCAGCAGCCTCGCCTCGATCCCGAACGCCCGGCCCGCGTCGACGAGCCGCCGGTACTCCTGCATGCGGCTCTCTCTGTGCGCGATGAACAGGCCGCCGTTGTTGCTCCAGCCGGCGCTCTCGCCGGTCTCGCGCTCGAGCTCGGCCAGCTGGGCCTGGGTGGCGCGCAGCAGCTCGATCTCCGTCTCGCACGGGCGCAGGCTCCAGGCCAGGCCGTTGCTGTGCCACGTCGTGCCCGAGCTCAGCTTCGACCGCTCGAGCAGCACCGCTCGAACGCCTCGCTTCGATAGCTCGTACAAGGCGCTGCAGCCCGACACTCCGCCACCTGTTTGTCGTCATCCGCGTTACGCGCTGCTTTTGCCTCGCCGTCGAGTCGCTTCTGCCGCGTCATCGAGTTTTTCCGCTGCTCTCTCGAGTGAGTCGGATGAAACGAGAATCGAACGGCTCGCGGATCGTTTTTTTCTGTTGCTTGGCCATTGGAAAAAACGCGGGTAAATTCATTTGCGTAAGCGTAGCTCGAGGTCATATATTTTTCCGACTCGACTCGTCGTTCGCTTGTTTTTGCGCTCAATCGAGTTGATTAGCTGCGACCGATGATAGGCACCAATCTCACGAGCATCCCGAGGAACGACGATTTGGCGTACACAAGCGCGGCTCGGCAAAAGCGGCAGAAGCGTCGATTCGCGATACGCGCTTACAGATCGAAGGGAAGACGATAGCTCGGCCGCGACTTACCAACGATGACGACCTCGGCGCTCTCGGGCAACGCGATCGTCGGCTTCTCGGGCGTGTTGGCGGTGGCGACGGCTCTGCCGCGCGCGATGCCATTGTGCCAGTTGCCGAGCTGAAAGCCAGAAGAGAACGCACGGATAACTCGTGTCGCGCGCTCTTCTTTTCAAATACCTTGTGTCTGGCGGCGCGCAGCATCTCATCGGCGCGGCTGATCAGCGTGGCGAGATGATCGGCAGCTGCAGCTCCGTGGCGCGCGGCTGCTCTGCTGCTACGACCCATCCTTCCCGACTCGCCGACACTTCTTATACCGTGGATTCGCTCTCGATATCTGCCTCTCTCCTTCTCGGAGAAGAATGTGCGATAAATTCCGCGCGATATTACTTCGTTGTTTTTCATCTGGCAGCCAGTTCCCCCCATAGTCGCAAAATATTATTGCGACTCCCTTCTCGTGGAACGGTGAGTTTGACGAATGCGAGATGCTCGTTCGTCTTTACGTTGAATCGACGGTTCCCCTTGACGCGAAAAAACAGCATGGAATCGAAAAACAGCGCGCGAAGCTTTCCGATCTCGCTGCGGCGGATACGCGAGCGGAGAGAAACGGAGGCGCATTCCGCGTATCTCGATCGTCTTTTCGCCTGATCGACGTCGACAGGGGTCGTCGACTCCTCGCGCGCTGACCGCGCAAGTCGCGTCAAATGATCGATTATGTCACGCGCTCGAGCGCGTCGTTTCGCAAACGGGGCTGTGCTCTCCGGCACAGTCGCGTCGGCTTGCTCGTCTGCCGAAGGCACGCCGAGGCACGAGTCGTTGGAAAGCTTCGCTCGGGAGCGATCGCTCCCGCTTTCGACGATCGACGAACTTGCGCGCACCCATACATGACGCTCAGCTGTTCGTTCGTTCGCGCGCGCAAATGTGTTTAAAAATCGGCGCTTCGTCTCGAAAATCGCTATGCGGCATTGAACGAGAACGGAACGCCCGAGCCACGTCTGCTAACGATCATCCGGCGCGATGACCAACAAGGCGAATGAATTTTCTCGGCGGCTCTATGAAAAGCACACTTGTTGAGCTTTGGCTCGACCCCCGCGCGCGCGGCGCCGTAACTTCCATTGACGCGATTAATCGACCTCACGGGTATTTCGGTAAAATCGTCTCGACGCGCACGCAAAACTCGTTTCGCATCTCCGTCCGCATACCGTGATAAAAAAAAAAGAAAAATAAAAGGAAAGATAAAAACAAGAAAAAAGAAAAAAAAGAAACTCACCTCCTGTTTGCTTGGGCCGTCTTCGTCGTCGAACGACTACATCATGACATCGCCACGCGAGCGACAATAAAAAAGCATAGGAGATGCACGAATCCGTGTGTGCGTGTGCGGATGGAGCGCGCGCCAGCCGACAACTGTCGTGCGTGGCTCTCGCGGATAGCCATCTGCTCGAAACGAGCCCGTACCTCCTCCTCCTTCTCCTCCTACTTCTCCTCCTCCTGACTCGCCTTTGGCCAGCCGTTGTGCGTTCGCGCGCGTGCGGAAGCTCGAGACAACGACAAGCTCGCCCGCGAGGTGCGCCCCGCTTGCACGCGACGTCCGCAGCCGTGCTTCGCTGCGCCAATTTCACTGTACGCGATCGAAAGGGGAACGACAATACGGCTTGGCCAGCGATTCGCAAAGAACTCGTTCTCAAAAGCTAAGCGCGCACCGAAAAAAGAAAACGATAAAAGGAGACGCGCGAGGGAAGAGCGCGGCGTGCACGCCGAGCAGGAGTGCGCGGTGCGTGCTCGCGCCGCCTAAACGAACCGGCAGGCGCATCCAGTGAAAGACCTTGAGTGTCGCGGGCTCGTTGAACCGCGCGACTCTGCTGCGGCCGAGTGGTTCGCGCGTACGCTAGCGCTGATGCTGCGCGCGTGATGCATTGTCCGCGCTTTCACTGCACAACTTACCATTGATTGCACTCTATTTTCTGGAACTTTCGTCGCGATCGTTTCGACCTCCACGTTCATTGACACATTATCGGGCGCTCCGTATTCCACATTTTTCTCGGTTTATTTTCAAGCGTGCTCGACAGCGCTGAAGCAGTTATTCACGAATAAAATACCTTATTTACTTATTACGGACTGAGTTAATACAAAATTCAATAGAACTGAATACGTACAAAAACGAAGCAATAATGTTACGTATGTAGTTTTGATAATGTAAATGTATAATCAAAACTTGCAGTTGTAATAAGTATTCTTATACGCAAGACCTTGATAAACCAATTTTTTATTCATTAGTTATGAAATAAGAATTGATAACTTCTCATCGAACTGTCAAATATTGACTAAAATTATTTTTAGACGCAGTCAATTTGTATAAACAAAAACCATTCTCATTGATAAGTTTTTGTAAGAAAAACAATTTGGGAAGCTTTCTTCCGATAATATATCTCTCGCAAAAGATTAACAAAAAAATTCCAATATTTCCGATTTAATGTCTCAATGTTAATTGATATGGTTATTATTAAAATGAATTCCCTCTCATTTCATACGTTACGATACAAACTACTATTGAACTTAATAATTATATCGCAAGTTCAACGCTCGCTTGGAAATAATATCTTTAGGATGACAGACATTGAAAACTCACGCATATCATGTAATCGAATTATAATTTATTTTAAATAATTTCACAATCTTTAGTTAGAGCGTTTAATAACTCGTAATATCACATTTGCACAAAAGGAATTCAAAAAGTGCGCAGTTCTGTACAATATTCAGCTTTTCCACGAATGCAAAAAAACGAACTAAGATTAAACTTAATTAGTCAAGTAATGTACTCGGATAAAGTACATTGATTGTTATAAATAAATATATATTCTTTCTCTCTCCCCATACTCGCATTAGATAAACATTCCTAAAAATCATTCATTCGCTCCTAAGCAATATGACGATTTCAATAATTTAAAAAAAAAACAAAAAAAAAGAAAACAAAGTAAAGCTATTAGAATGTAATATGAAAGTTTTTCTTTCGCAAAAACCGAAAAAACGCATAATTTATATTACAAAACAAAATCCTCGCGCGGGTTCGATAAGAAAAACAATAGTACATATATCACAAAGCGGCTCACGAAAGATGCCCTCACTTGCATGGTAAAAATGCGTTTAAAGCCATGATTTCATTTATTTGTTTGTATGTATCTTTTTGATGTATGTTTGCATTGGTAACGGAGTGTATTTATGTACGTGTGTATGTGTCGTTTAATAAACAACGACTGCTCTTCACAATTACAAAGATGTGTGCTCCTCACTGGCAATACTATCAGTGTCATCGGTATCCGAGTCTGCCTGTACTCGCGCGTACTCATCGGTATCGATACTCTTGCAAAAATGTATTGCGTATTTAAGCTTCTGACGGAGGATACTTTTGCACGAATAGCGTGGCATTTTCAGCAAGAAGAAACACGTGTAGCTCTCGGGTAAAAACTGGTCCGGTGGATTGTACTTGTCCATGACCTAATTGAACATGCGCATTGAGTTAATTCACGTTAATTGTTGTCACTGTTCTTTTCCTAATACTTGCCTGAAGAACAAAGTCACGTCCTCTAAAGTCAGCTATCGTTCGGGGTAATCGCGTTCTGCCCCAGACAAATCTTAGAAACAAAGATCTTTCTTGATTGGAAAATTCTTCCATGACTTCCCAAAACCATTGTATCAGTGGCGAGTTGACTTCAATTCCTAAAAGGATCAACTCATTTTAAAACAATAAAATAAAAAATGTTGACACGCCAGTCTAAACTCTATAACAATCACCTTTGTACGTTGCAACAGATTTGAGCAATCCCAACGGAATGTCTGGACTTCCGCAAACCATAGTTTCCAGTTCATTTCCACTAAACAAGGTCAGCAGAGGAACAGGAACTACTTTAGACATGCCCTCTCTCACCGCAGCCACTTGCTGATCGAATTCATGTAATCGATAATTGAGGGCAAGTCTTACGTACTCGTGCCTATTTTCTGGAGTGATTTTGCGGTACCTACAAATTAACAAATCGTTACGATTCATGTTGCAAAGTTATTATTTTTCATTATTGTATTTTTTAAGCTTTTGATGGTAACCTGATTTTAATTCATTCAACAGTTTTACGAGAAGTTTGATCTGAATGAGTGTAAAAAGTCTCAAATTAAACAAACCAAACCTTGTGGATAAAGGAACGTCGTGGCCATCAGCCGATGGCGTTGAGAAAGGCATCTCTAAAGTATGAAAAACCTTCTCCTGCGGATTCATGTCTCTGATGCAGAGAAGCCCTGGTACGTAAGTCCTATCTACCTCCGTAAGATCAGCTGGAGTTAAAGACATGCCAGCCAATTGTTTCCAAACAGGCTCGGCAAGGTTCAAGCTTAGAGGGCTGCCTGTTCTTATAGCAATGCCCATGAGTATGCCAAGGAATTGGAACATACTTATGTGCAACTGTGAAGTGGCCAAGGGATTGAGTATGAAACAGTCTCGATTGGTGCCACTGTCATCGCGACCGTTAGGCGTTGGAATCAGAAGAGGTAGAGAGCCATTTTGCAGCTCATCGCATATTTCGGCTATGCTCTCGCTGTAACCACCTCCACAGTCGTCAACGCTTTCACCTGTAAACCAAATATTGAAATATTAAGTGTAATAAATCTCAAAGTAATTTTTATTAGATTTTAATTTTTAAGTAATGTTGCTCGTCAAATGCACTTACCTACAAACTTCACTTTCCAGATTCGATGGGGTAAAAATAACACATCCTGCGTCAGCAACGACATCTTCGCTACCATCTGTCCGAACACGGATTTTATGCCGTCAGGTCCAGCGAAACCACCCTTACTTCTAGCCTTCTTCACTTGTATCCTATTCAACTCAATCGTTGGCCCATGTTGTCGATCTCTTACCATCGTTGCTTGTACGACTTTACGGAAAGTCGCTTCTTTGATCGTGTAGACAAGCATCGGTGCGAGTTTGTTCAAGCCCACAGCTCCGGTCGTAGGGAACATTGCGAGTGTCGGACATAGCAATTCGGCAAAATGATGCAACAGTACGAGTCGATTATGCAAAGCCGAGAATGGTAAATCCTTGACAAGATCGTACTCCATAGGCGTTGCAGCTGGTAAACTGTGAGTAGCTTTGGTTGTACTCCAAGCAAGAGTGTGAGCACTCCCACAGGCGACGCGCGTTATGTTCTTGCCTTGGAGAGCGTGAACCAGCCGTGGACTCTGCTGGGCGTGAGTCGTGCCGTCGCCGAGTTGACCTTCGTCGTTGTCACCCCAAGTGTAGACTTCACCTTTGTCGGAACAGGCCACGCAGTGAAGTGAACCGGTTGCAATGGATACTATTTTCTTGCCTTGGAGAGCTGATACTTTGCGAGGACGACGCACGTGATCATCGGTGCCATGTCCTAGACGATGGTAATCTCCTTTTCCCCTTTATTGATATATAAACATTGTCATTCAACTTTAACATTTTACTTTAAGGTAATTTCATGAGCTTACCAAGTGTAAACAGCTCCAGATCTCGTGAGTGCAACGGAAAATTGACTGCCACATTCGACCTTAACAACGCCGAGACCAGCAAGCGACTCGATCTTCATCGGTACTTTACAACCATCACTACCGCCTCGTCCCAATTTGCCGTAATCTCCATCGCCCCAACTCCAAACGTTATCATCGTCCGTAACGCATAATGTTTGCGCATCGCCACTTCCGCAAGCTACGTCAATAACTTTGTAACCTTGCAAAGCCGTCACCACCGTCGGTTTCAACTGGTCATCGCTGTCACCGTGACCTAATCTGCCATATCGACCTGTAAAGTGTAATAGCATTAGTAAATCAATATATCGTTTTTATAGGAAATTACAATAATAACCTTTGCCCCACGTATACAACCATCCAGCACTGGATATCGCTGCACTATGATGCCCACCACAAGCTATATCAACGATCTCAGTTCCCACCAGGGCTTCAATCAACTTTGGTCGATCGTATGAATTTCTATTGCCGTGTCCTAACTTGCCATCGTCACCTTCACCCCACGAATACGCATGGCCCTCGGCACTTAACGCAAGGCAGTGTTTGCCTCCAGAATTGACTGCTACTTTCTTTATAAATATATGCTGAATTGACTCTAGTAACGTCGGTACCATCACCGAATCCACGCCTCCAGTACCAAGCCGACCAAGTGCTCCGTATCCTGAGATAAATTTTAAGAAAACCAACGTGCATTATTGTTATTTTTACTAATGTGCATTTGATTTAGAAACTCACCAGTTGCATAAACTTTGCCATCCGCAGTAACAGAAAATAGCGTTTGCTCACCGCCAGCCAATTGAATAGGCCTTAAAGAGGACAGGCTCTCGCAAGGCATAGGCAACTTAACTTTAGCTCCCTCCAACCCACCTAACTGACCTCGATGATTGTGACCCCAGCCGTAAATTGCTCCCGAACCATCCCATGATAAAGTCCAATCTTCAGGTCGACGATTTAACCACTGTAGTAATTGCTCGTCGTGCTCTTGTTTGAATATATCGTGATTCTCGTGATCCTTCAGATTCTTATCGCCATCGGTGACCATCTCATTAATTCGCTTTGTCACTTCTACGCAGAATGCTTTAGGTAATGGTGTTCGATTGATTAAAGATTTGGCTACTCTAGCCGCTAGACAATATCGTCGAAACCACGACCACTTGTGGATTTCCGAGCAGCATTTCATCCCATCTACAATGAATAACAATAACATTGAGTTATATCGACCAATTGTTCGTAATGATAATAAGATATTCTAAATGCACTTACCAAGCTCCAAGTCGCAAGCAAGAGCAACGAGGACTTTGAAGAAATCGCTATGCATCAGTTGCTTACCACCTCTGACAGCTGGATCTTCGTATTCATATTGCCTCAGCAAAGCTTGCGGCAGCGAACCGAGCAAACTCGATAATGCAGCATCAGGTCTACCCGGATGACACTGACCGACCACTTGCAACTTCTTCAGTGCCCACATTCGTTGTTTAGCGTTGAGATTACTCAATTGACTACACTGAGCGAGAGCTGCTGCAAGTCTCGTTACGATATTCTTGTCCAAGCTGATCAAGCTATTGTCAAGCAAACATTCTGCCAAAGCGATAGATGGCTGAGAAAGTATTGCACGATCGGAGCCGAGTTCTTGTCGAGCGAGACTTGAAAGTGTTGGGTGAACGGTAAATCGCCAACCCCAGCCGTTCACTGAACCATCTGACGTGAATCTCCAGCGCAGTTCATCGCCTGCAATCAGCAATAAAGTGCAATCAATATTATTTATTGAATAGGAAGTCAAAATTGAAAATAACCTTCAATTCTGATTTCCGTAGCCCACTCACTCCAATCCCTTCCGGATCTAATTGCGACGATCCTGTTATTCCCATCCATGATAGTAAGTGGATCATGCCTCCTCTCGGTGGAACACTGCCTATCGAACTCAACGCGAAGTGCTTCTGCGCCAGATATCTTCACTTGTCCAGTCACAGTTGTATCGTCTAAGTAAGGATGAGGCGTCTCTTGCACAACTTGCTGTGGCGTCTTGTTAATACAATTAGAATTTGCCGCAGTATCCTCAAGCTCCGTCACGCAAAGCTCAAGAAGCATCGTACCGATCGATTGATTGGTTTTTCCAAGCGCTATCAACACCAAGGATATCGTTTCTTGAGCTGTATCGCACACTCTATTAGCTACTGCAAGTTTCAGTAGGTCGACTAGTATTCGAGCATCGTCTTCGTTCAACTGTGAAGTAAATTCATCCAAACCAGGTTCAGTACTTATACCTTCCCCCACCACTTGTGCATTTGACGTGAGAGTGGCAGCAATGACACTCATTGCGCTGCTCGATGACATTTTGGAGGCGCGTGAAGAGAGACTGGCGGAACTGGATATCGATGGGAATATAGCCAGTGGAAATTCTTCGGATTCGGGGGATGCTCGTGGACTGGCTACGATGTTAGCTACTTCCGAGGCATTCGCTAGCCCTTCACCACCACCCTGAGCTATTTCACTGATAACCTCGTTACTTCCCCAGCGAACTGTTGCTCCGTTGCTTGAGTTCATCGGAGCTTTAAAATACAAGAAAAATTAATATTAATATTAAAACTTTCTGCAAAATTGTTTTTCTTTTACGAATAAAAGTTACCATCGGGTTGTGATTCTGGTGAAGCGGTACCTTTACCATAACTCTGCGCGGTGTGACTCTGCAAAGCCGTCACCACAGCGGATCTCGCTTGCATGATAAACAGCGCATTCAAAACGTGCTGTAACGCCTGCTGCTTCGCCACATTACTCTCAAGCGACAGGATGATATTGGCAAGTGATGGTCTAATACATTTCGTCAATGGTACCACGACGTTTGTCTCAACTTTGTCCTAAAAATTATTCAACAATTGATAATTGTTCAAATGTAATCGTCATTATATAAATAACGTCATTACTTGTGCGAATCCAAGGGTAGCTTGGCCTAATGGGTCTTTAGTTGTAGGAAAAGTAACAGGTTCTTGATTCGCCAAAGTCGGTTGTTCGGTCAACACCCAAGCTATACTGTGACTAGATCCACAAGCAACTCTGTTGACCTTCGTATCCTCGAGATTGTGTACGAGTGACGGTTTTCTATTAACGATTGTCGTGCCATTTCCCTGCTGTCCGTGATCATTGTCACCCCACGCGTACACCTGTCCAGTATCCGTCACAGCAAGACAATGTAAAGCACCCACGGCAACGTGAATGATCTTTTTGCCGGCTAAACCTTCGACGAGCATAGGACGACGCACGTGATGATCGTTGCCATGGCCTAGCCTAAAATAGTCGCCTTTGCCCCAAGTCCATACTTCGCCGTACTTTGTTAGTGCCAGTGAAAATTGAGCACCACATTCGATCTGCACGACGCCAAGACCATTGAGGCGATCGACCGACAGAGGTGAATAGCAACCATCGCTTCCGCCTCGACCAAGTTTACCTGAACAAAATAAAATATATTGCTTTATAATATCCATTAGAAAGATTATCATAAGGAGTAAATATGACTAACCGAAATCTCCATCGCCCCAAGAATACACCGATCCATCTTCCGTCAGAGCCATAGTTTGCGCGTCTCTGCTACCACAAGCCACTTGAATAACTCGTTGGCCAACTAATGCCTCAATCAGCTTCGGTTTCAAATGCGTTGTTCTGTCTCCATGGCCCAATCGCCCATATTCCCCCAAACCCCATGTGTACAACTCTCCGTTACTTGCAATCGCAGCTGAATGACCAGATCCACACGCGATATCCCTGATTCTCTTTGATTTGAGGGCTTCGATCAATCGCGGTTTGTCTAGTGATGATCGATTGCCGTGGCCTAGTTTCCCATCTTCGCCTTCACCCCAAGAAAATACTTTGCCGTCTTGTGTCAATGCCAATGCGTGTTTACCACCCGAATGCACGGCTACTTTCTTGATGATGTACTGACTGAGAAAGGGAATAGGTTTGGGCTCGCACACGTTGTTGTTGTCTCCTAAGCCAAGACGTCCATTTGTACCTTCGCCACAAGCATAAAGTTTGCCTTCTTGACTGACAATGAAGAGTGTTTTACTGCCGCCTGTACGAAAAATCGATTCTTTTTTGAGAGATGTTAAATCATTGACAAAAGATGTATAGAAAAAAATTGTCACCAGCAATATGAACGGGTTTCAATTTCGACAGCACTTCACTATATACAGGTCTTTTGATCTTGGATCCTTTTAATCCACCAAGTTGATCTTTGTCATTTAATCCCCAAACATAAACGGCAGAAGTCTGTTGGGCATCGCTAGCTCGTTGAGCAGACATCTGTTCCTGCACAACTTCCCAGTCGGAGGCTAAAAACGATACAGAGGTAGCCAATGGATTCTCAAAGTCTTTTTTGTAGCCAACTATCTGTAGCGCGTGAATCTTGCAATCGATTCCACCATTTCTACACTCTTTGATGGCGATCTCGACGCAGGGTAAATATTCTTTAATATCTTGCAATAAATTGACGATCGAATCGTAGGGTTTAACGCTGATGCTAGCCAACTCGAGCATAATGTCGAATGACTCACCGGCATTTACAGAAATCATTGTTGGCATGTAACTACTGTCATGTGGATTCAGAATGATCTTCAGCGAATGGATGAGGATACCTGGTAACATCTCCATACGAATCCAATGCGATCCTTGTGGGCCACTACTTTGCCAGAACTTGTTCGAACCATCGACTAGACGAGTCGCAAAACGCTCGTTCGATGATACGCTCAATGTACGAATGCATCGAGACCAATCGTCGATTAATGGCGGCTCGAGAAGATCTTGCCTGATGGATTTGACCGATTAAGTGATTTATTTGAACAAAAACATTAGAAGTGAATATAATAATAATAACTAACTATAATATAATAATAATATAATAATAACTAACCTGTGATATCTTCCAGGCCTTCCGGCATACACAGCAGCAGAGCTCGGCTCCGTGATTCTGTTAAAACCATGCCTGTGTGTACGCTTAGTGTAGAAGCAATGTTCGCACAAGTTGTAGTTATCACAGGACTTGCACTTAAAACGCGGCCCCAAGATCGGCGAGGCATGACACGAGTTGCAGGTGACTGAGTGATGACACGAGGGCACTCGCTCCATTTCCGCGGCACAGCCAGTCCAACTGCTCTGTTGGGGAAAATCGATCGACACGTCGTTGCCGCTATTGCGAATCGCCGTTATTACACCGACACTGTTGTGATTAACCGAGCCCCATTTGTATTTTGGTACTGCTACGGATGGCTTGACTCGAACCTACAATTAAAAGTTATTAGAAATCGGTAATGCTAATTTCTTTTTGTTATAATTAATTATTATCACACCTTGTCCCCGACTTTTAAAGCTGGCGGACCAGGTAACGTAGGCGGATGTCCAAGTAATTCGATGTGTATGAATCTTACCCAATAAGAGCTACCTTTATGTTGCCACGTGACCTGTACATTCAAGTCATGTAGTCCTTCTGGATCTATCTTTACCACTTGCCCCACATCACCGTAAACGACTTCTTCATAGGTCTTGCAACACCTTACGAGCATACCAACTTTTACATTGTCTCTGACGTAAATAGCGTATTCGTCGACTGATAAAAAGTCAGAGCGTTTCATGTAAGTTGGTTGTGTTGAACCACCTAACTCCTGAAATGATGGGTCGTCGTCGACGTCCTCGCTGCTCGAATCGTCGGAATCGCACGCGTCCTCTATGCTGGATATCGTTTCCGAATCACTCAGCGTTATTTCGGGATTTTCAAGGAGCCATCCAACAACCGTTTCGGGTGTGATGTTCATGCTGATATGTTTTATGGCAAACTCAACGTTTCGTTTGTCGAATCCCATCTCGGTGACTTGAGTGACAATTGGATTTGCTGCTGGTGGCGCAATTTTGCCGCCAACTTGATTGCATGATTTACTGGTGTTCTTGAAATAGCGCTTCTGGCTCGAGGTCATAGAGAGTAAAGAGATGTCGGAGACAGGAGTTGTTGGATCTGATCCTACTGGACCCCCTTATAAAAAGAAAAAAATACAAAAAATTATTTTGAAAAATATTGATAAAATGAATAGCATTACAAATAGATGAGTATCATTTACCCGAACAGTGAATTGGAGTATGTCTTAATTCAGATGCTAAGTACTGACTAACAATGAGCGCAGCCATCTCAAGTTCATCCACTTTGAAAACAGGCTTGAGCGGTTGAGGTTTTGTTGCGCGAATGAGTAGCTCTTGCAGCAGAGTATTACGATCTTCGCCGTTGTCATTAGTAGAACACCGTAGTACTTTCCTAAGTTTCGATTGATAATCGATAAGTGTTTTGCCAGCATTGAGAGCAGCTAATTGCTGTTGCTGCATTCTCAATATTGACGCGTTCACTGAACCGGCTATAACAGGATTACCACCTGGTCGTTTGTCCATACCACAGTGACCTAACAGTAGATTTGCCCATATGTTTTGAAGTTGATCAGTTAATGCCATTTTGTCAAGATGAAATTTTTCGTTAACGACCTACGAGATTTTTCGTTATTTTATCTATTTGTTAATAAATATTTAATAATAATACTCTACCTTGAACGCGCCAAAAGGGACTTTTCGTTTCAAGCCACTCTCCAACATTTGTAATTGCAACTTGGAATGCTGTGTGAACTTGCAAACAGTCCCTAATTGACCATCAACCTCCACCAATCCACCAATTCTAGGTCGTTTATCCAAACCGCCAATGACACTGAGAGTTGCCATTACCATCTGTTGAATAACAGAACTATTCTCTCCACCATTCTCGTTCATTTGTATATGAAACAACGGTCCATCGCTTAACAAGTCGGAAGCCAAGCCAAGCTTCGATGCCAGAAATGTATTGAGCGCGACGTTCCATCCAGATAATGAGTGAAGATTACGTATGAGAGCAATAAGTTCTTCAGTCAAAGTCGAGCCATGCGAAGCAGTGAGAGAGACACGGCACTTGTTGGCGTGTAGCTCATTGCTTGCCTCGCACATCAAGCCGATGCGACCCAAAAGACGAAAACTTTTTTCGAAGAAGGCCGACATGTCGGTGTTATTGGCTAGCCATGAGGGCAATACAGTACCGAGTAGGCGAATCGCCATTATTTGCTTTTGAAGGTTTGCGTTGGATTCGTCAGCGACGATACTCAGCAAGAAGTTTACCCAGACGGGTGTGCTTAAAGCTCGACAAAAAATCGGTGAGTTTGCTGTTGCGCGAAGAAGCCCAAGCGTAGCCCATGATTCTTCATGTTCTTTTGCTATTCGTGGATAATAAATTTATTAATGTAGATATTAATGCAGATTCAATCTCAAATTTCATCAAAAATTAACTTACCTAATAGAGTTTGAGGATTAGCATCATTCTTGTTAGCGTTAGAAATGACGCCGCGAAGAACCGAAGAAAGAATTCTAATGGCCGAAGGTTGAACTCGCTCGGCTTCGATTCCACAAGACATTAAAATGACCTGCAGCAGCGTGACCGAAGTAGTTTTTAGGTATCTAGTCGGATGCACTTCCCTGGCGCTATCTCTCTCGGACTTTGCGGAATCGCTCTGCGGTGGTTCATCGTCGGAATCGCTCTCGGGTGGTGCAGGTGGTTCGGCGAGCTTCAGATCGAATTTCTTTTCCTTGCCCATGCGGTAGGAATTCGTTGCGCCGTTGTCCCATTTGACTCGAATCCAGCCGTCGTCACCAAGTTCGCCGATAACAGTTCCCTCTCCAGGTGGTGGGCCATCTTGTTCGCCCCATTTCCAGTCGACACCTCTAACGACCCTTGTGCCGATCTTCATGAGTGCTGCTAATTCCGGTCCTGTGAGCTGTATAGATTGTGGCTTGAACTTGTGCACCACATCTTCATAAATCGCTGGTACACCACCGGTGTCTTTACTACGAAGCTCTTTGCTGTCCGATAAACTCGTAGCTTTGGTCGGACCAATTTGTCTCAGTAACGTGAGCACACTTGACAGAAGACCCGAGTTGATGAGCAAGCCAATGTCGTTAGCATGATGCTGACCAGTGAGCATACCGAATATCGTCAGTAGAAATCTTGCTCTCGGTAACTTTCTTAACCAGGTGTAGGTGCCTTGATTGAGACTGCTTTTGCCACTGGCTTTACTCGACTTGCTCGGCAACTCCGCTTGTATTACGTACGCCCGAAGAGCTTGTATCGTCCAAAGTGTGACTTTCGCTTCGGCAAGTATAACTTTGAACCGAAGGTACGGTGTGGCCGACTGGATGTTTTTCAGACAATGAGTGATTCCGCAACTGAGCTGCTTGTTTTCGTGCGTCAGTCCTAGCCATCCATTTAGCAACGAATACTTCACAGACGTGACGAGGTAATCTTTCTGCAGCAATTCCTGAATCATAAAGAGTCCTTGCTCCCGCATTTTAACCCGTTGGATCTGACAGTACATCGCTCGTCTTAGAGTTTCAACGTCACCGTTCTCTTCTGTGATGACAAAACTGACGATACTCGTCATTAATTCATGCGCGTCCATCGCTAAAGGCTTTCGCATCAGCTTATCGGTCTGCTGTCTAATGATATTCGTCCAACTTGATGTCACCTCCAATTTACCCGGCAGTATCGTGCTCGTTGTTGTGCTGCTAGGCGTGGACTTTTCTTCGTTCGTATCTTCGCTCTTGCTCTTACTTTTGGCGTTTTGAATCGACGCGTTGACTATGTCCTCGGGTTTGCTTGGTGACGCATTTTTACGAATTTCAGCTATCACGTGCTGAACAGCTCGCTTGAAACGCGGCACCGTAAACAGTAATTTCAGATCTCGGAGACCTTTAATCTCGTAGCTTGTCGCCGGTCGAACTTCGTACAACAGAAAACGACATTTTTCCTGAGCCGGTGCGCACACTTCTTTGTAGCTACGATTCTGCTGCTGTCGCGTTCTTATGAGATTCCATTTGGTTTGATGAATGGCTCTGACCATGTCGACGAGAGGTTTAGTGAGTTTCACGTTGCCCTCGGATAATTCTTGATCGACAAGAGCAATAGTTTGATGACCAAGTGCCAGATGCTTAACGATTACCGCCATCATTAATCTGCCAATCTCCTCTACGGGATGATCACCGTAAAAGTCCACGTGTGACATCAAATTATTGGTCTTGCAATATCGATCAACGATTGCCAAAAACGCTTGCACGTAAGTATCACTTTTATGTGTCTCCGCGAGTGCCTGCACAAAAGTCAATACTCGATCGTCAGTCACTCGCTGGGGCTCATCCTTCATGCAGATAGGTAGGAGAGGTGGTTCCGTTGGTGAATTTGCTGCAGTGGAATTATTACTTCTCGCTTCGCCTTTCTCTTCCTCATAAGGATTTGGTGGCTGTAGAATATGAAGTCCGCCGCGAAGGAAACTAGCCTCGAGCCATTTACCTGCTTCTTCCTCGGCTGGTTGGATGGCAAGACTTTGACGCAGTCGGTAAGCGTGTAAACCGAGGACAAAACTCAAAGCACGCTCGGTATCGAGAAGACTCGAACAAACATCGGTTACCTCGATGCTGAATTGCATATTGTCGGGCTCAGGTTGACAGTAATAACCAACGAAACATGAATCCATCATTCCGTGACGCGCCTCACGGCTTATCAGTCTGTGGAGAATTTCTTGATTGTAGCCCTGCTTCAAAAAATATAAATAATTTGTTAAGTTCAATAATTATTAAAATTACGGAATAGATGGTAGTAGATCTCACCATAGATGTTGGGTCATAACCAGATATATCTTGGACATCGTATACACTATTGTTCAAAACTACCCAGAAGCCACCGTCACGATTATGATTTTCTAAATCGGCCCAACGTATTAACGAGAGCTCGTCCTGAATTGAAAGTTTGTTCGTGTGTTGAGGTGCAATAATTCCAGGCCACGACAAATCATCCGCGTCATCTTTGTCGATTGTCGGCGCTAAATGATTCAACTGATCTAGCGAATCGAGAACCGGTGATAATACCTTCATCCAATTCATTTTTAATAGTAGTGTCGGGTAGTCAACCTGAAATTATTCGTGGTTTCAATAACGTGTACGATGTATTATACATTTTTCATAAACATCCATCGATTTCTTACCTGAAGAAGTATCAAACAAATCACGAGTTCCGGCAGTAAGACGTTGATAATATCGACTTTCAAAATACTGGCCACTATGACGAAGTGTTTGCTGCTCAGACTTGCTATTTCTATGGCTATAGGCATCGTTTCTGTTACGTGATTGCAAACTTGACATATGTACTTGTTTAACAACGATTCAACACCTAAGATCTCTTGGTCTTGTGATTCAGAGCCATTGCTACACTTGTCAATACAGTTGAGCATTTGAGCAATAAGTAGCCTTTGAAATCTCAGCAATAAGCTCAAACTCGGTGAGTTATCGATCTTCTTGTAATTTTCCTGATGTCTAGGCTGCTGTTGCTGCAAAACCCGAAATCTCGACTGCGTGATACAGGTACCATTGCGAACGAGTTGCTTGACAAGTTGCAAAAGGGATATGGTTGTGGCATTGTGTGTATTGAAACCTGCTTTAGCTTCGGCACTGTTATAGTCTTTAAGATGACTCGTTATTATTTCTTTGTTGTCATCCGATATATCGGATATCTCGACTTTGATTGCCGTCTTGAGAGCAAGCTCGAGACCACCATCGGCCATAAGACTTGAGACTAGTAAGTCAGCCATAAACTGTTGACCACGATTACTCGAGCCAGGGATGTTTATTTCAAGGGCATTTGTGTTTGGCAGAAAACCTTCAATCAATTTATTTAATTTTCACATTAAAGAAATTATTAATTTTTTAATCAAATTTTACATACCAGAAAGCGTTTTAGCTCGTTCGTTAGCAGTTGGGAGTAAGATGCTCCATCCAGTTTGTAACACAGCCTGTGCAGCTTCCTGAATAGTCACTAAAATTCCAGATACGCTCGCCAAATTGACGCAGCGTTGCTTTATCGAACTCAACAACATGCTGTTATTACCCAAGCCTACTGATTTACTATCTATGTTGTGAGTTATCATTGCGTGTAATTGCAGTCTCAAGAGATTCAAGGCAGCGACTACCAAGCATTCGCAATCCTGTGTTGGTGGTCTTGTACCAGGTAGTCCTGCAAAAAAATGAATGAATTTAGAAAAATAACTGTGCACTATTTTAATGAACTTACCTTCGCACGATATCGCAAGAAGAGAATCAAGTAGTTTGAACGTTTCCTCACACACATCCACCACAAAAGCAACTCGCTGTGCGACCGACCAGGTCGACATTGACCAAGCGAAACTCTGCGTTGGACCGCAAACCAAACCGATGACACTTTTATTGCTCAGGGTTGGACATAACGTTGGCTCGGATACTCTTGAGGGAAACGATGGATCAATCTGATAAGCGTCATTGCGACCCCATCCATATACCATTTGATCTTCGGTGAGCGCGAGGATGTGCATACTACCGATCGACAAATCGCGAACCTTCTTATTGCGAAGACCTTCAACTAGCTTTGGAAAGTGTACATGTTCTTCATTACCGTGGCCTAATCGATAGTGATCACCCTTACCTGAAAAGTTGAGACAGTTATTTTTTTTTTAATCTACGTCTCATGGCAATAATTGACATGTACATTTGTTGTCACTCACCCCAAGTATAAACTTCGCCATGAGCAGTGAGAGCCGCCGAGAACTGTCCTCCGCAAAAAATCTTAACAATGTTCTGATCCATCAATTTTTCGACGATCTTTGGTATCTTCGAACCATCTGTGCCACCTCTACCAAGTTTTCCATAATCACCATCGCCCCACGAAAAAACTATACCTGAGTTGGTTACACACAAGGTTTGTGAATCACCACTGCCACAAGCGATGTGAGTGACAGTATGGCCATTGAGTGCCGTCACGATAGTTGGAATGTTGATATCGTCGCAGATACCATGACCCAATCGACCGTAACTACCCCTACCCCAGGTATATAGTTCGCCGTGATTTGTGATCGCAGCTGAGTACGTGCTCCCGCACGCTATGTACGTTACGACTTTGTCTGCAAGCACTTCGATTACCTGTTATAAGCAAATTATTCTATTATAATTTTGGTAAATCAAAATTAATCAAAATCAAAGTTATACCTTACCTGAGGTTCATCGCAAGAGAAACTGTCACCGTGCCCAAGCCTACCACCATCGCCATTACCCCACGAATAAATTATACCCTTAGTTGTCAGTGCCAAATAATGCTTGCCATCCGGATGGGAGGCAATCATTATGACATCTTCTGCAAATCCATAAACGCTTTGCGGATACTGCGTCTCCGAGCCATAGTACATCATGTAAACGGCGCCATTCAACGATAGTATGAGCAATGCTCTCTCGGAGCAACAGAGCTGTTTAACGCCGATCTCGGCGATGGCATCGCAATAATAGGGCATCGTACCGTTACCAAAGTGCACGTTACCCCAGGCAAGAACCTCTTGCGACATTTGCGTTTCAGATCTCAACAGATCTGAAATAGGTGGTAACAGTGGCTTGGCAAGACGACTTAGATGACACATAATAATGACAGCCGCCTTGCGTAAATCCACTGGCATTGTATCATCCTCCGGTAGTCGTAGATACTTTAATAGAGCCTCGCATGGGCCAGGTGATGCGTTCTCGTCGAGTCTTCGTGACTTTGTTGCTGCGATAGTACTAAGACGACGAAGAAGGGGTATGAGTGGCGCCGAACTACCTGGTGGCATTACTCGGTTGTCTTGGTTCTTTGGTTTTTCGCTGAGCTGAAGCAGAAGGATTACGGAGTCTAAAAGGCTAGACAATGTACCGCGTTGCGTCGCTAACTCAAGCAACAGGCAGAGTGCTGTGTGTTGATCGGCAACTGGCACAGGACACCATGAGATTCTTCCTGATACTACGTCACTACATTGTAGAAAATAAAAAAATTAGTTAATAAAGTTTTATGTGTTATAGAATTGAATTCATTAAGAATTGATTTACCCCGTGACAACTTGACGCAAGAATTTGGCAGATCTTTCAACCACTTCCAGCCATACTTGCGATACGTTGTTCTCGTCGAATAGTGTTGCCTCGGGTAATGACTGTAGAGCTTCCAACGATTCGGTTAATAATTCACTGCAAAAGTCAATGTCCTCGCCAGACCGCCAAGCTCGTCGCAGATATGCAAATGAAAAGTTTAGAGCAGCGCGTGAGCCAACTCGCGCGAGGCCGGCTGTCGCTTTCTCACTAGGTTTCATTCTACAAGAAATGTTAATAAGCATTATTAGAATTGTTATAATTGCAAGGAAATCTTAAAATGTACACATATAACTTACTTTTTCTGTATCTTAACGATAGCTTTGGGAGCAGCAACTACTTCTTTGTTCTCTTGGGGCTTGTGTCGCGACAAGGCAGTGAAGTATCTTCGAGCAATTACCAGGCGCTGTCTAAGTCTAGTTGCAGACAGTGTACTATTGGCTACTTCATGGCATAGGTTTCTTTGTTCTTTTATGAGGGATTCGATGCATGAAGTCAATTCATTTGGTGCTATAAACAGGATGAGAGACAAGTAATTTTCACTCTTTCAGTAAGGAAAACTATGAGCAAGGGCATATGTGCTTACATGGTTGGGGACCCCATAACCACGAATCAATAGTATATTGAGCAGGAATAGATTTCTCTGTGGTTACAATACGTCCTTCCTCTTCATCTAATTTTTGGCAAGGAATACAATTGCATCCACTTTGTGGACCACAAATTCCATCACAACAAAGACATGACAAAACTCTTAAATTACAATAATAATGTCCACTTTCTCCTGCAAAAACAAATGGCAAATCATTGAAAAAGTTCTCAATTGATGAAAAGAGCTTTATTCCTACCTTTTCTTGCAATAACACCAGCTGAATTAATTAAACCATCACTGAAGGCACCTACGATTTCTCCATCTCTGATCATTTCATTCCATAATTCGGCAAGTCCATCTTTAGAGAGGAAGCGCTGGAGGTCCATCTTAAGCCATTTAGCATCAAGGCGAGCCTCTGGTCTGACTGTGATGTTCAACTGACCACTCATTGTCCTGTTGTGCTTTACCTCTTAAGAGTCAATTACTTTCCTGTACATCATTTATTGCCTTATTAGTTATAGCAGAGACATAACGTCAATAAAGAATGTTGATTATGAATATCATTGCACATAATTTATGGTTTAATAGACAGTTCAGTCGCGCATTTCGTGAGAATTGATCAAAAGTTTGTAATAAGTTAATGTACTGTACATAGGTTAGAGCGCAGCAGAAAAGTTCTTACGAAAAAAAGGTTCATAAACACCCACCTAATGTAATTCGTCACATTTTCTCTCATTTTTTCACTGGTCAGTTGTCAAACTTTTAATTAAGACTATCGTTGATTATTGAAGTTCCTTGACATCGACATTTTCTCCTGCTATTTTATGAGCTTTGACAGAAGAAACAGACGGACGGCGCCTGCAGTGGCCCTGCGAGCAATAGGTATAAGCTTGCGCTTGCACAGAGAGAAACAACACAACTACCAATGGTGGAAATATGCATTTGTGCATATGTATGGACACACTCACACAACTCTATATCTATTATAATACGACAATACGATTAACCCGAAACCTAGCTAACAAATCATTCGTAGTTAAACTGTATAATTTATATATCGATTTGGAATGTTAACAAGTAGCTTATATAAAATAAATATACGTTATAGTGATTATTAGCGTGAACTGGCTTTCGAGGAAAGAGATAAATATTTACAAGCATACTGCAAGAGCGATCTGATAAGACGACAGCCACACGAGCGAGCAGACTATTTTTTTGTAACAACCAATCACGTGCAAAGCCTATATGCTTTTATTGGGCAGCGCCACGATTCAAATTGATGATAAGCTCTTCAGAATAAGCGAGCCACGTGCGTGTCAATCTACAAATACAGATTTAAAAGCTTTTCATAATTATGTATGTTTCATTGACAGATAGTGAAGAGTTTGTGAAACTTACTTTATCACTAACTCTAGAGAAAATACAACATAGTTCGGCAAATAAATCATCAGGATATTAGAATGTAATATTCGTTTATTTCTCTTAAAAATGATACAAACGAAAACGTTCAGTATACAGTACCCATCTGCCGTTGTCAATACTCCATTATATTTACAAGATAAAATAAATATTCTTGTTTTCGTCTAATATCAAATTTTTGCTTTTGCAGTTAAAAAAAACATCGATTAAAGTAGTTATCTCGCTTGGATATTATAGAAATTGAACTATAAGTATCACAATTATCGCGTCGAAAGGAAACAAACTTATACAAAATAAATTTATAAATTTCTATTTACTATCTCCGTTTCCTGTCTTGTCAATTTTTTATACAACATTATATATCTTATCGTCGTCAAAATATACAATCGAACGATCACACGGTTACATCACAATTGTCAATTATTAGTCGTCATAAAAAATAATTTCCTCCAAGTATCGCTTCATGTTTTACGCGTAATATGAAGGCGGTACGGTTAAATCTTGCATAAGCGCGAATTGCTCCTCGGTGAAATGCTCTGCCAAGCCTTGTAGACCTGTCCATCCGTCACAATGCGTACGTTTAAAATCGTTGAGAGTTTTGCGAATAGTAGCCTGCAAAAGTACACGTTAAAAATCAATTATCACGCAAACATTTATCGAAAACGTATAAACAAAACTCACAGGAATCGGTTCAGGATCATTAAGATTAAAACTGAGGCATTCGAAAATTGGCGGTATATGCTTAGGAATGTCGTATGGGTGAGCTTGCACGAAAGCACACATTCCAAGAACACCGGCATGACGTAAACGAACAGCATTGAACATTTTCGCATTTTCCGCTAGTTCCTCCTTGTCGTTTGACGAGCCCTTTTTCTTTCTTCCAAGTTTCGTTTTCGCTTTCTTTTTAAACTCCTCCTGCAAACAAAATGTTTTGTTTATTTGTTTTGAGTACTACATAAATTTTATTTTACTTTTTTTTTCAGTGTATTTTTACTCATTTGCATAAACAAAGTAATTAAATGTAAAAATTGAAGTTAACAAAAAATTAAAAAAGCTCACCAAAAGGAGTTCCTGGTCCGGTAAAATGGTACAATGCAGCAATCCGCCAAGCAGCTGACCAGCCTTCTGCCTTACTTCCAGTCTCTCGTCCTCAAGCAACTTTAATACTATTTTTTCGATATCCTTGATCCAGTCTCTGTCACTCAGTAAAATGCTCATATTATTAAACACGAGCACCTGCATGAAATCCAAACAACTGGCTCTCGCCGACCATGATGCACTTTGTGAAACTGTGCGTATGGCGTCGAGAACTGAAGGCACGTGTTCGGGTAGAGTGAGTGTTCCAGCCAACACAGCCATAGAATGTGTGCATGCCATTGACAAACCCTCATCCTTGTCATTGCTTTCAAGTTGCGCCATGATGGGATAAACACGGTAAAAGCTTGACAATGAATCCAACCCCGATATCATTACCATCTCCAGTATCCAACGGCATACAGTCTTTAACAAACGAATATTTTTCTCGCGTTTTTCATCCGTACCGTTCGGTGGTGTTAGCAATTCTACGGATGTATTTTGCGTTGAGTTAGTATCAACTAATATATCTGACTTAATTTGCATTTGCAACATTTTGTCATCCACTGCAAGTGACGACGAAGCATTATCACCTTTCAACTCGCCAACAATTGAAAGATTTTCCATCAAAGACTGTAACTTGCTGGAATCAAGATTGGGTTGGCTAACAACCGATATCTCGGAACTCAGCTTGAGTTTCGAATCGTGTACTGTCTGTAATGTTTGCACAAGTTGCTCATCAGTTTTCTTTGGTGAATGCGTTTCTCTGATCTCTTTTTTCATAGATACAAGCGAGTCTTCTTCCAATAACGACTGCAGTCGGGGAAATATCTTGTCAATGAACTGATTTGCATTGAAATCCGGTCTACCAGCGATAACTGTCTCGTCTCCAAACTTAAGCTTCGATCTGAAAATCGTACTGAGAATCGAAGCGACACGTTCGCGAACATTTTGCAATGGATTCTCTTCTAGTCTCTTTTCCGTGTGTAACAGTAGTCTATGCAATAATTCTTCTACTCGCCAAGATAACGATACTAGAGCACCTTGAAGAATCGTCAATCTGCCACACTCGCGAAACGACGCTTCGGCTTGGCCCAATGGTGACTCTTCCATGAGACACTCGAGCAGCCAGTACAGCTTGTTCGGATCTCTGTCTTTGGTCGACAATGTGATTCCAACAGTCCAATCATTGATAGTTTCCACGGTGAGATTGCTCAGTGCTTTTCGAATAATAGGTAACAATCGGATCCAAGTGCGTTCGCTCATCTCGTAAGGCCAATGTTTGGAGCCACTGATCAGACCACAAATTATCTCGGCTGCGCACACTTGAGCGCTTTCCTGCTTCTTATCGGCAACGAAATTTTCTAAATGCAACAAAAACTTATCCAGGAAGGCATCTCCGTGGTTACGAAAAAGATATTTGAAGAGGAACATCCGTCCATTGTTGAATTTCAGCGAACGACCTTTTGCCCCCTCAAGACTTAAATATTTCATTAGTTTGTCTACATTCTGCTGGTCGTTGAAGAACTCGTATACTTCGCGTTCGTGAGCTGTCAGATTATTGTGATCAAAGTGAGATTTTTCCGATGAGGGTGCATAAACCAGAAGTTCTTGTGGCCAGACGTAATATCCTACATCATTTTTGTGCACATAGCGAAGTTGATCCCAAGAAGTCGAGTCGATTGGTCGATTCTCATAGTTGTACTGGAGCCACGCGTTGTCTGATCGATAGCCAGGCTGGATATTACTAGATGTGCTCATTGGAATTTCGATATTTATCTAAAAACATTTCAAATAATTTAAATAAATCAGACTTGAAAATGACAATTGCGATTAATATCACCAAAATACCTTCGCGTATTTTCTTTTGATCTGTTTGAGAAGATACATGATAGTTCGCACTGCAAGCTTTCTCTCGTCAATCGATTCGTTAATCAAAGAACGCAAAAAGTAACGCAATACTTGAGGTGGAAAGACTTGCTCTGGATGTATCAAAATATAAAGAAAGTTTATAGCCATTATCCTATGGCGCCAATGCAAATTCTTCTCGAGTAGCAGTTTGAACAATATGTCTACGATTTCACCGTAAGCTTTCAAATTTTTCTCTCCATCTTTCTTCAATTCGATGATTCCTTCCTTCACTTCTTCCTCTTTAGGCAGTGGTGCATCTGGAATATTCATTTTACTATTCCAAAAATTCGCAGCTATGGATACGCAAGAGTCGGGAATTTCTAGCTTGAGATTGGTCGTATAAAAACATTCGACAACAATATCGATGATAACATCTTTCAAACGAATGACAGACGGCTTCTCGGATGGCTGGGATAACACCAAAACAGGCCACAAAGTTTTAAGGAACTCCCAGTCTGGCTTGACTAACAAGGGCTCTTGACGATTAATCCTTTGTACCAGCAAATATAAAATTCCCTAAAACCAAACATAATCACGTATGCGATGAAATTGGATTTTCATTTTGTCACCGAAAACACTTACTTTGTAGGCATCATGGTGGACAGTAGGGTCTTTCTGCAATATATTAGTGATATAGGGTAACAAAACTGGATAAACATTAGGGAAATAACCAAGAGCTATCTGAATCATATCTTGAGCTTTCGATCTTATCCTACTGTATTGACTAGTACTCAGCTTCATAATATTCATCAAGATAGTCTTATGGGTCTCGGTGAACACTGGTGTACGACACATTCTGCGTATCTGATGTTGTCCACTGACGCGAGCTATAACGAGCATTGGGAACCAACCTTTACTACCAATTATTTTGTTCTCAACTAATCGCTTTGATATACAATAATTTGTAGAGAATTTGAATGATGAATCGACTGCCGTTCGCAGCTTACCGAGAAGAAGATTTTGCCAGATCTAAAATATGAGAAAATAATTTTGATAGAAAACTTTTAACTAATTGTAAAAAATATTTAGTTTTGCGTGAGCTTTATTGCAATTTATTTTTAAACTCACCAATTGTAGAATCGTCAAGCTTTTCGTGTCGTCTTCAACGTTTTCCGACATTATTTCCTGCAATTTGGTCATAAGATTCACGAGGTACGTTCGAACATTGCCACCATCGGGCATTTTTATGTTGCCTCTAGTGATCAACGTGATAGGATCAAAGGGTTCGAGACAAATGTCATGTGACTGAACTATCAACGGAGGCTCCGACCAGAACGGCAAAGCTGAATCGCAACCATCGATGACATTGTAAATTACTCGCAACGTCACTTGTAACTCTTCCCTGAAAGTTGTTTTATAGTTGACGTATTATTAAAATGATTGTACTAATCTGAAACAAAGAATTATTGTAAATAGATTAAAAAATACACTTACCTCGACAATGAATTTCCTGTTTTGATATAATTCTCAATAGCAGCGACAGCAGGCATGAAGTATCTCTCGAAGACCACTTGCAGTACGGCATAATCATCGGGACCAGGCATCGTAAACTTAAGCTTCACCTCGGCGATCTTCACCGTTTGTCCCCAATCTTTGATGTAAGGATATTGCGGATCGTCGAGATTTCGATCGTCGGTGATATGCGCGCTGCTCGACAACGACATTAATACGTTATTCATTATAAAACAACCAAGCAAATTGCCTTCACGCGATTTCAGCGTAACAGCCTTGTCGATAACTTTGAATAGAGTATCCATATAAAGCGTTAGTACGTGACCTTGGGTGGCAACCAATCGATTGAGAAGTAACAGTGGATAAAGCAATTGATTGTCAAGATGTTCTGCTTTGATAACTTCGTCGCCTTCACCTATCGCGTCGAGCACCTTCTCCGACAAAAACGGAAACAGAGCTTTCATCGTCTCGTGACTATCGACTGCGGTAAACACTTTGCACAAGGTTGCAACCATTTGACCAGCGACTTGTGTCTCCAGGACGTGTTCCACGATAAACGACTTGAGTTTGTTCAGGGCACTAACAAATATGCTATGGCTGCATTGCTCCAAAAGTGTGAGGAATACTCGACTGAGTGCAGTCTCAGCCATAGCTTCCGAACGACTTTTACCGTTGCCATCGGTTTGATTCTCTAAACGAACAGTCTCAACAGAACTTGAATCAATCCACACAAACACCTTATCCATGAACTGCAACACAAAGTCCTCAAAACGTGAAGTCTCAGCGCATACCTCGCGTTCTTCTTCAGTTAACTCAGCGGTGGTTTTTGAACAATCAGCTATCGGTACCATCGTGACATACGTAGCGATGAGATTAAATGTTGCCATGCACTTATTTAAATCATTCGGATCGATGCCCGAAAGCGATGTGAAGAGAATCGGTAGTACGTGCTGAGGTCCTTCGTGAAATGCATAGGCTGCGAGAAGAAATTTCGTGATTGATTGGTTATTTGAGAACTACTTGGCGATAATATTAACCAACTAAAAATACCTTTATCGGGAATACGCGAACCTTGAACAAGTGGTCTCGAAATCGAGACCATGCAGTTGAGAGAAGTGATAAGTTTGTGAGGTTCAATCTCAGAATTAAGAGTAGGATATACTTTTTCCAATATCTTTGGTATCACAACGTTTGGTCTCATAATCGCTAAGTGATGAAGAGCGATGTAAAAAATCTGTGAACACCTTTTATTAAATATGCCGAGTTCTATAATGGGCATCATACTACTGACAAATGCATCAATGTCAGAGTCAGTTAGTTTATAGAATTCTGGAATTGGTTTTTTCCACGTTGGTTTCCATGTGTTGCGCTCTCTTCATTAAAACAAAAAAAACAGCATTAAGATATTTATCTTGACACTTCAAATTATTTTCAATCATACCTATTGATTCTGATTACTACACAATACAAAATATTGACAAACAATTGGCCAAGCTTTTTTAGCCAGTGGCCATAATTTGCAGGATGAAAGTAAGTTTCTACAGTTTTTAAGAACTTGTCCAAGTAACTTTGAGCACTAGATTGGCCTCCTAAAACTGATGATATCCAAAGACTAATACCATTAGAACCAACTTTATAGCTTATGGTTTGATAAGCTATTTTTTTGTAGTAAACTGGTAAGTGAAAGCTTTGAACGAATCTCGTAAACATTAGAGGTATATAAGGTTCCCAATCAATGTACCCAATGTTATTACATGCTAATTTAGCCATTAATTGCATCATGCTGCCAGCCCATGTATGCGAATTAGAACTACAAACTTGCCACAATTTCATGAATTCATCAAACCATAATTCATATCCCAATGAACTGTATTGTTCACTCAGCTGTAATGGTAAAAATAGTTCAAAGCTTTTTATAACTATTGGCATGGTAGGAATGTTGAATGGGCAAATTTTAGGTCTTAGTTCATCTAATATCTCTTGTGTTGCGGTCAACTAAAAATAAATAAAAAATCAATTGATTTTTATGTTAAATATCAAATACATTAGACTTGGAATAATTAATGAAATAAATTAAGAATTGCAGTAAACTTACAGGAAAATAACATTTTGCTACGCATATAATAGACTCTAATAAGTTCCTCAAATTACTGGGGTAATGATATAAAGAAATTTGCAATGGTTTTGGCATCACTTGCATAAATAAATTGTATAAAGGCCTCCATGGCAGCTCCAATTCGTCAGGTGTTATTAAATCTACTTTTCTAAAAATAAATACGTGTTATAATATATAATCTTACAATAACATTTTTTAATTTCAAAACTATACATACCTAAGAAGTAAGTACAATCGATAACCAAAAACACCAATTAAAGAGGACTCTAAGTTTGGAATAGTCACTAATTCATACATCAGTTTGATGAATGTTATGTGATCTTCTTTTGTAAATCTCAAATCATACAAAATCATATACCTAGAAAGAATATTCAATATTCAGAAAAGACTCAAATAGCTTAAAAATAAAACAACAATCAACAATACTTATACTTACTTGTGTAACATATTTGACCATACAAGGCAATCAGGTTTAATTTTTCTTAGCATAACGCTTCGTCCTAAATTAGCTTTAACTTTTGCAAGTAAAATATCAGCCTCATCATCAAGTTTGTCAGCATACGGAAGAAGTTTGTTGAAAATAATTTCTTTTTGAAAAGGTGAATTTTGCTTGAAGTCAAAATTTTCATTTATCATTTCTTCTGTTGGAGTCCCAGAGCTTATCAAATCATCATTTTGATTACAATCTTCCTCTTCAAACAAATCCATGTTGCTTGAATCTTGATTCAACTACACCAGAAAAATTATAAATGAAGAAATGCGCGAAAATAATTACAGTATTAATATGTAGTGGTTAACCTAACTTTTTGTAGAAAACTATAAAACTCGCTAGATGTGTGACACTTATAATAGCCTCGCAGAGCAATTCCTTGGAGAGGTTTTTAGTCTTAAAAAGTTCGTTTCATTGTCCTCACTGTTTCCACCGAGTGACGCTTTCCATGTTCGCGTAAGTATCTAAATAAATGGTTTTTCTTATTTTCACTGGTCTATAAATGTAACGAAACAAAGGGGTGGAAGGAGAGAACTAAGAGAACTGACGAGGATACGGGAGCGCGTTGAATTTACAAGAGAATGCATGTTTTTTATTACAAACTGATATTCAACAATTAAGTAATTTGTTTCATTTTAGTAATTATAACACTTTTCCCGAATCACTTGATAATTTTAAATCGATTGCTTTTTGTTTTCATAAACAAAGAAAAATGACCAATCAATGAAAACAATATACATTCTCAAGGTTCTAGTCTCATTGTAGTGAATTAGAGTCTACAGAAAGTAATACAATCGCGTAATACAATTAAAAAGTAATTAGATAATAAATTCTTTTGTGCAATTTAAATTAAATATTGTAGAAAAAATTAGAATTTCATTAAAAAACAAGCTGATTTATTGTTTAGTTATGCCAATATAAGTACTCACGTAAATCAATACCAATTATCGTGTTGTATACATGCTGTATGTCTCACGCATATGTACATATGTAGTGGACCACGTGAGCACTAATGAACAGCTGATGCCTGAGATCCAGTGGGACCTTATTGTAATAATGTTGGTCATGCGTACTTGGTTGCGCAGTCAGTGTAGTCCGACAAAACCAATGCTAATTTAAATAAATTAATAATAAAAACATTATTTAGCAAATCATAAAATTCTTTTAATATATTTTTAGGCTATATTTTACGATTATATTTTAAGTTGACGCCTAAAACGTTTCAGTTTTATAATTTATCAATTTAAATATTTAGCCACTTTTTTCAGTTTTAAGACTATAATTTTATGCTATAAAAGTGTGTATCATTAAACATTATGATATGCATTAAAAGTGGTATTGGTATAAAATGATTGCATGAATAAATGTACAACATTAATTGTTTGAAAACGAAATGTTTATATAGTATTTGAAAATTATAATATTATATAAAAACATTAATAGGAATTTAATAAAGTTAAAACCTATAATTATTAAACAATATTTATTCTCTCTTTAATTCTAGACCTCTTTAAGCCACTCTAACTTGCTGAATTTTATTAAAATATTTATTTATTAACGTTTATTTTTCTCCGGGATTAACCATTTATTTATCCGTCTTCAAAATAGCGAGTATAGTTCTTCTGCCGATCATGCATATTAGCAGCATATCTTGTAGTGGCGTGCTTTATAAGAAAACTAATAATAATTTATAAATATTTACTATTTGTATGAAATATTTGATAAGATTCATTCCGATAGCAGTTGAAACGCGTGATAACGTAAAATTTACAAAACCGCAAAAGATGATACATATATATTTGGCTATGTTGTTGGCAAGTACATCCACGCTCGTTACGGATAGAGGAAGTGGTAGGGATCACGCAGGAGATCACGCTGAACTCGAATTTTCTTAAGCACTGAGAAATCTTTATTTTTCCTTGAAACAACGTTGTACAGCGAAATACGGTAGCTCGTCCTCGTCGGGGGGCCGTAAGCGTCACAAGCAGAGCAAACCTGCTTGGGAAGAGTGGCTGACGCTTGGCTAAGCGGACGGTGGCGTTCCTCGGCGACGATAGTATGTCCTGGCGAATGCTTGAAAGCGGCTGTAGGCGATGACGAAGACCAGCGGGTCGACGACGGGCAGCAGTTAGACTAATACTGATGTGCGTTGCGATGGGCGACCTTATATAGGCCGCCAGGCCGGGGTTTGATCCACCTGAGCCACTTAAGGATGAGCAGATTAACCGGATTACTTCGCTATCATCCTCCTAAGCCTCGCTTCCTAATCCAGCTAATTCGAACCGAGGCGCCTCTCCCGCCGTTGATTTAGGCCCGCAGGTGGTGGCACCAACCGGGGCTCGACCGCCACATATATATGTACCCGCAGGAAACATTTGCAAAATGCCACAATTTGGGAATTCGAATCGGTAGCGTTGATATTATTCTATTTTTTTAAATCATAATATTTTATATACTTACATGAAATTATAATGCCAATAAGACATTTTACAAAATTCATGCAATCATTTTATGCCATAACCACTTTTAATGAGTAATGAGTAATCGTTATGTTTAGTGATATACATTTTTATAATATAAAATTAGTTTTTAACTGGAAAAAATAGGTAAATATTTGAATTGATAAATTATAAAACTCAAACGTTTTATTTAGGCACTAATTTAAAATTCTTTTTATATATTTTTAGATTATATTTTACGATTATATTTTATGATTGGCTAAATAATGTTTTTATGCTTTAACCGGTGCATTGATATCATATCTTACTTCTCCGCTGACTTCATACGATTACATTTTTTGAGAGTAGGTCTGTTCGTTCCAACAGTTAAATATAAAATAATTCAATAAAAATAGTGTATACCATACGTGTGACTTAAGTAGCCATTATTGCACGGCGTGATATCAACACTCGAGCATAAAATGGAATACTAATTGAGCACAAGACTCACAATTATCGTACATTTTATAGTTCTGTCCGAATATCAATCTTAAATCAGCACTTTCGGTTCGTCTATCTATGTCTTAAGATATGCATCAATTTTACACCGAATATATTGTTCAGTGTTCACAACTCGTATTTTGCGCAATGAACTCTAAATTTATTTTGTTTTATCTTATACATTTAAAATAAAAAATTACGATTAGAATAAAAATAATGTTGACTGGTTTGGAAATATTCTGCAAATATTCTATAAATAAACTAAGTAAGTAAACTTCCTTGAACAATTAAGTTTCTTATTTCTATAGGTTATTTCCCGGCTTTTACGGATTTTATTATTTTTCTAGATGTTTAATTAATAACCATTAAAAAACACTATTTTGTAACCTAAACTATAAATTATCATATGTAATTTGTATTAACTGTTATAGATATTCAAAATATTGCAAAATGTTCTTCAAAAATCATTTACAATACAGCAGTACAGCAAGCTACAGCTCAAAATACTATACAACAAATGTTTGGTCAACCAACATCACAGACTCACTCGTATCTTCTAAAAGAAGGAGAAGTTGTACCAGGTATAAAGAAGGATGAGTTTAAACGCAGACGTTACAAATTCATGGAAAAAATTGCAAAGCATAATGTGCTATCTGATAATTATCCACAACTTGTTTTAATACCATCAGCATCCAAAGTTTACATGTCAGATAAAATACCATATGTCTTTCGACAAAATTCTGATTTTCTCTATTTCACTGGCTGCCAGGAGCCAGATTCTATCTTATTGCTAACTATAAATGGCAGTAATTATACTTCTACTTTATTTATGAGACCAAAAGATGCCCATGCTGAACTGTGGGATGGTCCAAGAACAGGTGTAGAGGCTGCAATTTCTTTATTTGAGGTAGAGCAAGCTTTACCAGTTTCAGAATTTGAAAAATATATGACATCTGTTTTGAATCAAAATAAGAAAAGTGTTATTTGGTATGATGCTGATGATATAATTCAACCAGAATTACACAAGAAGCTTGGACAGCTCCTCACGTTAAGTCAGAAACAAATGTTTACATGTCCAAAAACTTTAATTCATCAATTTCGTTTGATCAAATCAGAAGCAGAGATAAAGTTAATGAAAAAGAGTTGCGATGTGGCATCAGCAGCTATAGCAACAGTCATTGAGAAATCCAAACCTGGAATAAATGAGCACCAGCTGTTTGCTACAGTTGATTATCAGTGCAGAATGAAAGGAGCTGAATTTTTAGCTTATCCGCCAGTAGTAGCTGGTGGAAGAAATGCTAACATTATCCATTACATTGCAAATAATCAAATTGTATGTAATAATGAAATGGTTTTGATGGATGCTGGTAATACCCATTTCTATAAGACATAAATAATTAGTATTGATTAAAATTACCAAAATTAACAGTTGTTCTAATATTTTTCAGGTTGTGAATATCATGGGTACTCTTCTGATATTACCAGGACATGGCCAATAAATGGTAAATTCACACCTTACCAAAGAATCTTGTATGAAATCGTTCTAGATGTTCAGAAGATTTTAATCGACAAATTGAAAGAAATGCCAAGTCTTGATATGGTTTATCACGACATGTGCAATCTTCTCGGCAAACGTTTACAAGAAGAGTGTCTAATACCAAAAGACTTGACGGGAAATAAATTACTAGCGGCAACTTACTTGTATTGTCCACATCACGTAGGTCATTATTTGGGTATGGATGTTCACGATACTCCAAAAATTTCGCGAAGTATCAGAGTTCAGCCAGGAATGATCGTAACGGTAGAACCAGGTAATTAGTGTTCTTTCTCAATAAATAATTCTACAAATCTAGTATTAATTTAAGAACAAGAATGAACAATGGTTTCGTTTTTATGCAGGCATTTACGTAAATCCAAAAAATCAGTACGCCCCACTCGAATTCCATAATTTCGGAATAAGAATAGAAGACGATGTTTTAATTCAAGATGATGGTCCGGTGGTTCTTAGTCAAAATTGCCCGAAAGAGACTGCTGATGTAGAAGCTCTGGCCCGAAAAAATCAGTCTTAATTTAATATTATACCCATTCCTGCTATTATATGTATATAATGAAGTTTTATTTAATAACCAAGATTGTACATTTGTACATAACGAAAACATTAATTTCAATTACAAATAGAAGAAAAAAATAAATGCAGGTTGATTGTACATTATAAAGAAATAAGTTTATTAAAAAGTCAAGTATGTAACAGTCACTCTACTCGTAAACCAGTTTGTTTGGATAAAGATGTACTTTATAGATTTGTAGCCAATAAAGAACAACGAGTAAAAACAATAGTAGCGCGTACAATAACAACGCTACCATTAATAACAACTTCAGTAAATAGTGAATTTTAGTGCTGTATAAAAACAAATAAAAATAAGAAGCAGGTAGAGCATCAACTTACAAAACACAAACACAAAAAAATAACAATTAAATCTTAATACATAAATATCAGAGAGAGATCGCTTAGAACTGAAGAGTTCGGAGTTTAGCATCGGCCTGCTTAAGAGTGACAAAGTTGGTAAGTTGCTTAACTCGCAGGCGCGACCAAACCAAATGATCATGAAGTGCGTGAATTTGAGCAGCCGCAAGTGCTGCACTCTCCGGGTAGATCACAGTCGTACATCCGAGACCTGTAAAAAATGTAGATGGATAAATTTAGTCATTATTTGATAAAGGCGGTTAAGAAAACCGCATGACTGGATTGCATCATTTCACTCCCTTATCTGTTGCCTTGTGGTGTACGCAAAAACATTTCGAGATTGACAGTAATTGTATTGAACTTCGGTTGTGAAACAAGAATTCAAGACGATTTGAGAAATTGACTGAATAATATGTTCGATTTCGATTTTTGTTATCTTTTTTTTCCGATTAGTATTAAGTAACATTTATCGATAAGAAAGATGAGCTTCGTTACGATATATCAACAGAAATTTCGAATAACAAGAAACGCTTTTCTCACAACTAGGTATCACTCATGGTAATAGTCCTTACATTAAACTTTTAATGAACAAGCATACTCGTCAACAAGTTAAACGTACCTGACGGTACTTTGAGCGATGACCAAACGTCCTGATTGAGATCCTGTGCATTAACAGGTGGGCAATTAATTACAGGGAAAGGTGTATTACCAGAGAGTACAGGGCCAAGACCATTGCT